GGAAGTATGAGAAGTTTTATCCAACCGTCCACTATCAGATTTAGACCCTGACGGGTCCTTTCCATACACCTAGGAGGTGTCACATGTTACGTACACTCTGTTAGGATCTAATATCGGTGGGGTTTGAATAAACCACTCTTGATGTTTTTAGATCGCCATTTTGATCTTTGATGTTCCTTATCTGCTTTCTTTGGCTTCCTTTCAATCTCTTGATCGTATTCCAAAATTGTTTCTAATTACCTGTGTAAACTTCGATTTTTTTCCAAATCTTTCCCAAGAATCTTGGTTTATAATTTCCTCCGTCTCATTTCGTTTTTGGTGATACTCCTATTTAGTTTGTTGCGTTCTACATTAGTTGTATCTAAACCATGCTCGTTTCTTCTTTACTGTGTCATTCCATCAACTTGTTCGTTTCTGATCAGAACCCGAAACAGGAGGTATAAAAATGCACGTCTCTAGGATGGCAGGTTAGTGGAGAATTTTATCTTTTAAAAGTAGAACGATATACAATCCCTAAAAGGGAGTTTAAGTTTATATTATACATGAGGGCAACAGAGTCCTTTTAGAAGTTGCTGTGCATAATTCCTCCGTATGATCCTCAAGAAAAGAGTGAAACCCCCGTTGGAATTACCGTGCCGAAACCTGTGCAAATATCCTTTACTCCACATGCAGAGTTTTTCACAATACATGTACGACAAGAGATATTCTCGACCATCAACTTGATGAGAACATAGCACCAAATGAACATGACATATCAAAAGCAGAGAAAAGACTATTCAACGCATATGCAGACATTGGAAAAGCAATTCCTAAAGTAAATACGACTAGTTTTTCAACAACAGAGAAATTACGGAATCATTGAATCCTGCCAAATAGGTCTTTGGAAAAAACGCAGCAAGTTCCTGTGTTTTCTTGTATATCTAGTGCTGGTTTGAAATCCTAAAGCTTCGATGTATCAGTTATCAGGGCTGCATGATAAATAAAGTCCAAATATATTTTCTTTACTTGGCAATCCAGCTATTTACCAATTGCAAAGAAGTTTGGCACATGTAACCCTACGGGTATATTCAACGCCAAATATTTCAGTCACAATCTTATGCTACAGTTCTAGGACAATCCACCATCTTGGAACAATACACGAATAAAATTTGGAACCTACCTGAAAATAGGTATGAAGCTTACAATAGAGAATTGTTTGCTATACACAAATTTGTTACTTTGGATACATGGTGAAGGATCGAGTTGTTGTAATATTTGCCGAATCAAATTACTTTCGCTTTCAGATAGAAACCGGATGCTCATCGTGACGAGTTCCGTTATTTATATATTTTTGGATATACGCTACATAGCAAAAAAAGATCCTATCGCGGTTCGAGGAACTATCACAAATAATAGATTTCAAGGCAATGACACGAACTTAATCAGAAGACAATGAATGGAATGAGGAATGAGTGGAAGAGCAGGTGTTGTTACGGCTGCACCTGAACTCCGCCTAATTTGTCCTGGCTTAATTTATAATAATTTTATGTATATATACATCTAATGGGACAAATAAAGTCATATTATTATTATTATTAATTATTCCAATTTTCCGAACTAGATTTACTATCTCAGCACTATCTGGCTTATTTCTTTTTTCCTAGTGGGAGAATTGAAGACAAATGGTTGAATCTCTACCCACATTAAAAAGGATATAAATCCTTTTTTTATTTTTTTATTTATCTCAACTGGGTACAGTAACTGGTCGAACCCAATAACACTGTACCACAAACAACCAGTTGTATACAAGTTAAAATTACAGACCGCACCAAATTACACACCAACTGCAGCAAAGAGCAATTTTTTAAATGCATAGAAAGAATGCTGAAACAGATCTATGCTAACACGATTTGCAGATCTCGCCATTCTTAATAAATGAGAGTTTTGACAGACATTGGCTCTAGGAGTAGGTGTTCTAAATAGAAAGTCAAAGCGAAGTAATCTCGGAGGAACATGAACAACAGAACCTAAGGAGCATTGGAGAATCACATTTGTTGTTCCTAGAAAAGGAAATAATATTACACTTTGATAAGTTTAATGAAAGGCGATTATTTAAGCAAAAAGCATGAAGATTATCTAAATCAGATTGCAAATATTAAACATTGGGCATAATTAACGATGTCAAATATGTCATTAACACGACTATTAAATAGTAAAGGGCCTAGATGGCTACCCTGGGGAACACCAGAAGGAGCCGACACAGGATTAGAGAAAAAACCATTAACCGAAACAATCTGGCATCTCTTCTTCAGATAGGAAGCAACCATTGCACAAGCTTCCCCTGAATACCAAACTTCATTAGTTTAAACAGAAGTAAGTTGTGATCCACCCGGTCGAAAGCTTTACTTAAATCAGTATAAACTGAACCAACTTGACAAGAATCATCCAAAGAAGATAAGATATACTGGGTATATTCAAGTAAGTTACTCCCAACCGAGCGACCAAAAAAACATGTTGTCTACAATTGATTTTAGACTTAAGGGCAAAAAATAGATGCTTGAACCACTTTCTCAAACACTTTCCCAAATGCTGCCAAATAGATATAGGGCGCGAATCAGATATAACACCACGGTCCCCAGATTTAAAAATGGGAAAAATAAAAGTCCACTTCCACAATTAAGGAAAGACACCTATTACTAATGAAGCGTTAAATAAAATAGTTAATGGAAGGGACAGAGAGTGTGAACATTGTTTGATTAAAATTGATGGAAAACCATCAGTACCAATACTGTTAATAAACCTGATGCCCATCAGGACCTCCTCAACCTCAATCCTGTCAGACTGCATCTGACTCAAAGGAAGGGCATCCGTTTCCACACAATCTACATTCTGCTGAATTGGAGAAGGATCAATAAAAACCGAAGAAAAAAAATCAGCGAACAATGAGGATACTCCGACACCGTCGTCGACAACAGTTCCATTCCATGACATCTTAGAAGGAATGACAGATTGAATATTGCTATATTCTTAACATACATAGGAAGATTTTCATATTGATGTGAAGTAATTTCAGTGGAAAACATAGAAGCAGACACAACTGCGAATGCTTCACCATCGGAACAACTTATATAGTAGACGCCACGAGAGCTGGCAGTAAATCATCGTTTTCCACTCTTACAAATGCCATACGTAGTTCACAAACCGCTAGAGCTAGAGAGTAATGTGTGTTAGAAAGAGATAGCATTAGTTTAATATGTATGCTGTACTTTGATTATATATAATATGGATTGAGCTAACTGAATATATCTACTAACAAAAATGTTGCTCAAGGTGAATAGACGCAGATGGAAAGCGATAATGTGAAAGTGTAACAAAGATAGATATATTATATGTCAGTACGCTTCTATATCTATCTCACTTCTATCAGTACACCCATTATATGGCAGTACGCTTCTATGTCTATCTCGGTTCGATCACCTTGCGCAAGCTATCTCTCGTTGGCTCAATCCATATTATATATAATCAAAGATGCTGTACAATTCAAATGGCCACGTTGAAAAAGTATGTCTGTTCTTCTAAGGGATGTAACTCTATAATTATAACCTCAAGTCGAAACGTCTTGTCAGCGTTGTCATGAATCTGTTAGTGTTTTCACAAGCCGTTTTCTTTGAAAGGAAAATCATTAGATAATATCTTTGACAAAGTTTGACATATAACCTCCATTACTAACATAACCTACATTTAAATGTGTGTGGTGAAATAATCTAAGTCGTACGTCCATATCTTGATTCATACCATTTTTAAGCGATCTGTCACTGCCAGCTCTCGTGGTTTCTACTATATCATAACGTTTGAAGCTACATGTTGGAAACCAAATTTTTCTGGACAATCGCTCAATTAAAAGACACCACTTCACAGAAGAATGAGGTAAGATTCTCCACTGGGATTCAGGATGGCATCAGAAGAAAGAGTCATACCTCATACTAGTAGTACCTACTACTGACACACTTGGGCAGTAAACATCATAGATTTCTGAAAGCACATTGCGATTTTAGATATATTCCAGTCAGTTACATTTATAGTTTTTGCAGCTCTATCTTCAACTCCGGTGTGGCACCTGTATATCGCTAAAACTGTTTCAAATCAGATCAAATCGTTGATTGTTGGAAATCAAAATGCTTCAAAATCATTTAATCATTCAATTATGCATCAATATTCCAGATTATCATTATTTGTATAATTGAATTAGCATTAATTTTAATAAATCTGAGAGTATTTAAAAATTTTATTTTATTTGGTTTCTTTTAACAGTTTTTGCGAGGGGCTATAAAGCAAAGTACGGACCTATAAAAAAAAATTCACCCCGTTGGTAGCTGAAAGGGTCGTGTTAGGGTAGGTTTCAGTCGGCGTTCAGTTGCCCGAAGTGTTCGAACCAAGAATATTTCCGTCGTTTGTAGTTGGTAGTTTAGTATCCGCGCGACCGTCGCCCCAAAAAGACAGCCTGCACCACAATCAACCCGTATACAGTGGGATGAGCAAATTTCCGCGCCCCAAATCCACCGTTTGTCCTCTTTATACACCCGCTCCGAAAGAGGGCGCGCCCCCACAAAGTAAAAGTCCTTTCCATTGAGTCGGCCGGAGAAAGTGTAATTAGAATTTAGAACCCCGCTTTCATTGTATCCTCAAAGTCCACTTCAGTTCGTTATCGACCCTTTTTTGCTTCTATTTTTAAGCTTCTTCGATTTGATTTATTGCTTCTATAATTTTCTTGTTTACTTTGTCGTTTTTAAAGACATGTTTTTGAGCGGAAATTTTCAGATAACGTTTTTGATTTATTCTCACGTTTCGTAACATCTAGTGAAAACTTAAAAAAATGTTTTTATGTTGTGACGTTAGTTATTTAAACGTGTACATATTGTAATATTCATAAATAGCGATAATAACAGTGGAGAATAACTTGTTAATTTTGTGCTAAATCTTTTTTAATTTTTTCGTTTTATGATTTTTATAAAAATGATCAACCACAAAAAAAAATTGTTATCAGTTTTAAACCCGATGTGCATTTTCATCCGTAAATATTGTTGCATGCGCAAGAAACGATCGTATTAAAAACGAAATAGATCGTTGCAGCACGCGATGCGGCTACTACATCGTATATGGCTTTATAAAATCAGTTGGAAATCGCGTATAGTAGGTGTGTGGCTTTTATTAAAATAAAGCTTTTTGCAATTTCCCTTTTTAATTTAATTCTTTTTCGCAATGAAACGATTTGGAGAAAAAGATCGTAATGAATGATGTTGTATGGTAGTTTTTTATTGAGTATTTCTTTTCGTATAGAAAGAAAGGAGACTGGAGGTCGTCTCCGGGATCAAAGAACCCAAAGCGACCAGGTTAACGGGAAGAAACACTTCCACACCCAGCACTTTGTCGTTGAGGTAACGTTTCAATACGGCTTTTTTAAGGAAGGATTTATTGCGTATAACAGTTTACAATGAGTAAAGTTAAGGACAAAAAACAAAATATCTTTATCTTAATTTAAACGGTAAATTACATCTTTAATTATTATGAATTAACTTAATAGCACTTATTATTGCTTATAATTATTTTTTTGACATTCGATCGGTGATAAACTCAAAATACTTCACGTATAATTCCATTGCATTAAATCTTGATTCAAGACATTTTATCTTAAGCTTACGAAGCTCTTCCTGGTCTTTATACCATTGATTTTGGATTTTTTCAAATTCCACCTTAAGTTCCAACGATTTGCTTTCAAAACTTTCATTTTCGTTTGGATTCGACATATTTCTACTTACACCTTGAAAAAGAAGTTTTATTTTAACTTTTAAATTACAACAATGCAAATTTATAATTCATAAATTTCGTAACCTTTGAAATGTCAAAATTAATCGATGTGAAGTCAGACATTTATTACAAACATGAATTTAAATTTAAACAATTTATTTTGAAATTTCGAAATCTTTCCGGAAATCTATATTTTTCTATTTATTTAACACTTTTTAATCAATTAATAACGTTAAAAATAATAATGTTAATTGATGAAACATTTTTAATCATCGAAGTGAAGTTGGATGCTTTTTTAATACTTTTTAATTTCCGTGAATTTAGTTCCCATTTCGTATCGAATCGATTTTTTTACGTTTCCTTGAAATTAAGCGTTATTTTTATAGTACTGGTTAAATTAGGAAAGTTAAAAATTTATTGGTAATAAATTTATGTCAAAATCAACGTGAACTGCGCACATCCAATTTATTCATTTTTGTGTTTTATTTAATAATTAATGTAAAAAATTTAATGTTAAAGTTAATTTATAGTTAATTATTTCCCCTTAATAAAAAATGTATTAAATATCCTTTTTTTTTAATTATTTTCATTAAATTTTTTGACAGCAGAAAAAGTTAGGTTAGACTTTTTAAAACGTCAACATTGGGTTGGCAACCCTATTTAAACACGAAAATTTAAAATTCAAATTATTCCTTTTAGAATTTCCCTAACAGAATTTTTTTTAATTTATTAAAATAATACAGTTGATTTCTCATCGAAGAATGTTATTAAAAAAAGATTCCTGCAGTCTGTTTGAGTGTTTCACTTAAAAGAACAACTTGAGTGAAAAGCTTCCGGATTTTTTTGAAATTTTCTAACCGTTCCGCTTTTTTGATTTCGTAGATCACGGAGATGTACGAACCGGTGTTGTCGGCAAACAACGTCACGGCCACTGCAACCGCAGCCGTTATACGAAAGCAGCAGGAATCCACCAGTAGTGACGGACAGGACGAGAACGAAGTAGCGGCGTCACTTTGCGCCGAAACTACCGATGCCGATGACGATCAACGCATGAAGAACAACGGCGTCGCCGGCAGCAGCCCAAGAAGACCACCTCGCAGAAAGAAACGAGCTCAAGACAGAAGAAGACTCGAAGAACTAAGAAAAGGGGTTTGTAATAATAGAGAAATTAAAAAGGAAAGAAAGGAGGAAAGTGGAGTTACGATGAGAACTGGAACTGGAGATCGTTGTATCGATATCGATCATATTACTTTGGGTCATAACAATTATAAGAATAAGAAGCAAAGTGTGGCCACGCAAACGTGCCAAGTGGTTCCTTATCGGTTGAAGTTTTGGCCGAAGAGCGAAGTACGCATAAAATGTGCCGGTGATGCAAAAGTCCTAGACCATGTGCAATGTTGCTGTAGGACTTTGAGTCAATTGTTATTATCGCAAGTTGGTCTAACCATTATTCTACTTAGTTGGGCGTTATTGGGTGCCTTTGCTTTCTATCAAACTGAAGGTAAGCTATTTCTTTTTCTTTTTAATTAATCTTTTCCATCACCTCCACCAATAATCAATTATTTATAAAAATTCAATCCAAATTCCAATTTCAAAACACTGCTTTATTAAATTTTTTTATGGCATTATATTTATAAAACTTTCTTCTACTTTTTAGCATATTTAACATTCTATTTTCATTGTGTCATGGTGGAGTTAATAAATGTTAATAAACGGCAAAGCTAAGTGGCAAATAAATACGAATATATAACGTAAAAAGATTCTAAATCATTAAATTTACATTAGATTAGGAGAATTAGTTAGTTATCTTAAATTAAAGCTAAAACCATAAGTTAATCACCAAGTTTCTCAGAAAAATTTTATACCGATCAATTCATTTTAAATTTTTGAGGTTAGATAAGAAAGAAATTCTTGTAAAGGTATGATTCTAATGAATTTATGGGTATTGATTTCATTTCGACATGCAAATGAATTATTTCACAGATAAAGGTACTAAAATAGAAAACGAAACATTCTTTTGTGATTAAATTCCGGTTCTTTAGTTCCACGAATGTGAATTGTTCTTGCCCTATCAGTTTGATATCAATATCTTCTTCAGATTGGAAAATAGTTGAAACTTTATCTTGGCCGCTATGTTCACCTTTTTCTTATGTTCAACATTTCCAATATCTCTATTTGATTGTGAGTCAGTTTTTGCGGGTATTATTTTGCCATCTATCAGATACTCAAACAACAATTTGTTTGCTTTCATTGAAAATTTTATGGAGTGTGTCAACCTCCACTCCATGTTTCCAACATTTTTTGGTACGTCCAAACTTACGCGCGGCAGAATTTATGGACACTAATAGAATTTGATACGCTTTTTGGTATTTGTAATTCTGGTGAGATGTGTCCAAACCTCTATACATACTTCACAGATAGCTTGTCTACGTTTATTTGCATTTTGATTACCTTTCAAAATTCTGCTGCAGCTTTATCTACGATATATCAACTTTATATTTTGTAGAAAGTTGTTAAAATTTTTTATAGAATTCTGCCATTTTATCTTGAATATAGAACATCTTGAACAATTATTGCAATAGTTCTGCATTAGAAATAGAAATAGTCTCATGGCAAAAGATTGCCATAGAAGTACATTGATAATCTATGTAACTCTTTCAAATTCTTAAAAAAATCTTAAACATATTTGTATATCTTTAGAAATTCCTGGATATGCTTATAAATAGCTTAACATTTTTGAAAATTAGTATAAATTTGTTAAAATCTTTAGAAATCCCAGGTAACCATTGAAAAACGTTATTATTCGTGAAATGCTTTAAAATTTTAGAAGCTTTTGTTGGAAATCCAAAGAATTTTCTGTACATTATTTATATTACTTTAATATTTTTGGAACTCGTTTTGGAAATTGTAGGAAGATATTTCTAAATTATTTGGAAACCTGAAAATACTAGAAAAATATTAAAATTTCTTAAAATGAGTTCTCTAGAATCTTGTAGATATTTTTGCATATCATTTTAAAACTTTAGAAACTCACAGAAATCGATAATTATTCCTGGATATCGCTGCAAATTTTCCATATATCGTTGGCTTGGTTTAGCTTTTTTTTACTTTTTCCTGACATTCTGCTCAATTTATTTTTTCCCTTTTCAGTTTATATTTAGTTTCTTTCTTCAGTTACCAGAAACTTGTGGTCTCCCTTCTTTCTACAGTGTTTTTTTTTTCTCTCCACATTCTGTGGTCAGTGTCCTTTTTCGTTTGGAAGTGTATTTCCAGTTTTATTTCTTTGTGCCCAGTCTCTTTCTTCTCTTTCCAGAGTCTGCTCAGTTCTCTTGTTAAATGACTGGAATTTTTATAGTCTCCCTTCGTACTGCAAACTTTCCTTTTCTTCTATACAGTTTCAGATCAGTGTCTTTCTTCTATTACAAGTCTGTTTCCACTCTCACATCTTTCTGCCCTATTTCTTTCTTCTCCTTTTACCCTCTATTAGGTTTCTTTCTTCAATTATCTGAGTTTTGTGGCCTCCCTTCGTGCTGCAAAGTCTCATTTTCTTCTCTCCAGTCTCTAGTGAGTGTCATTCGTTGAGTACAAGTCTGTTTCCAGTCTCGCTTCTTTCTGCCTAGTGTCTTAATTAAGTTTATTGCTACCAAATCAGCAATACATTCCACAAACAATTAAATTTTTAGCAATACTACAATTACATATATCACATTACAATACAATACATTTTATTTCCTATCCTACCCCTCCCCATCTCCTCCCCGCATCTCCCTACGCTGCCTTGTCGCCACCACCTCCCTCATCCATTCTCTTTCCTCTGCCCCCTCCCCCAGCACCTGCTTCCAGCCCATCACCTCCTCTCTTAGCTCGTCACACTCCCTCAGTAGGTGCTCCAACGACTCCCACTCCCCCCCACATAGCCTACAACCCCTCTCCTCATCTCTCATCCAATACCTATTCGCTCTCTCCTCATTGCCGCATCTGAATCTTGCCACCATCCTCTTCCCCTCCTCATCCCCCTCCACCGACAGGTACTTCGGCAATCCCTCCGTTATTATTTCCTCGTACTTAGGGTTGTACCTGCCTAGTGTCTTTCTTCTCCTTTTATTCTCTATTCGGTTTCTTTAGTGATAAAGATGTTTTTCTTTCACACTCTATCTAATGTTATATTACGTTCACCATTTCGCTGATATCTGTGATCTTTGTACCTATTTTGTTTATGAGCGTTGTTAATTCTTCAATTAGCTTAATCCTCTAATCTTAATCTCTCTCTGTATTTCATTCTTACCAGCTGATTTTCTATTTTTTAATCATTTCAGTGCTTTTCCAACTCGTTCTATTGTTTCATTTATTACTCTCTGGTGATTCGGAAACTTCGAGTATTAAGTTTTTCATCTTACTATAAAATTATGTAAAATACTTTTTCTGGTCACTATCTATTTAATGCATCTTACAAGTTTCGGATTCAGTAAGGTCATTCGTGTAACATGTATAAAATTAGTATCCTTTTGTTGCACATATACAAGACTTATTTTAAAAAATACACTTTAAAAATATTAAAATTTATAAGTTAAAACTAGTTTTCTCGGGGATCGCGACGTTTGATGGATGAAAAGATAGGTATATCTTGGGTGTCGTCAGCATATAGATAATATATTGTAAATCTATTTCCAGTCTCGCTTCATTCTGCCTAATCTCTTTTCAGTCTTTATTCCGTTTTTTTTTCAATTACCAGACATTTGTGGCCTTCTTTCGTTCTGCAAAGTCTCGTTTTCTTCTCCCCAGTCTCTTGGGAGTATCTTTCTTCTATTATAAGTCTGATTCCAGTCTCGGTTCTTTCTGCCTAGTCTCTTTCTTCTCTTGTCAGTTTCTATTCGGTAGTGAGTATATTTCTTCTATTATAAATGTATTTCCAGCTCGCTTCATTCTCCCTAGTCTCTTTTCAGTCTCTATTTGGGTTTTGCTTCAATCACTGGACTTTTGTGGCCTTGCTTCCTTCTGCAAAGTCTCGTTTTCTTCTCAACAGTCTCTAGTGAGTGTCTTTCTTCTATTATAAATTTATTTCTAGTCCAGTTTCATTCTGCCCAATATCTTTTTTCAGTCTCTATTCGGTTTTTTCTTTAATTACCAGACTTTTGTGGCCTTACTTAGTTCTGCAATGTCTCGTTTTCTTCTCAACAGTCTCTAGTGAGTGTCTTTGTTCTATTATAAATCTATTTCCAGTCTCTCTTCATTCTGCCCAATCTCTTTTCAGTCTCTATTTGGTTTTTCTTCAATTACCGGACTTTTGTGGCCTTATTTAGTTATGCAAAGTCTCATTTTCTTCTCTCTAGTCTCTAGTCAGTGTCTTTCTTCTATTACAAATCTGTTTCCAGTCTCGTCTTTTCTTTTTCCAATCTTTTCTTTATCTTTTCAGCCTCTGTTCGATATTTTTCTTCAATTACCAAATATTTGGAGTCCCCTTTCGTTCTGCATAGTCTCGTTTTCTTTACTGCAATCTGTCTTGCTTCTTTCTGACAATTTCTTTCTTCTGTTCCCAGTCTCTGTTCAATTTTATCTTCATATTACCAGGTCATTTCCTGTCTCCCTAGTTCCTGTCCACTCTCTATCTTCTATTAAAAGCTACACTTTTAGCTTTGCTGGGATTTCTTCGTACATAACAATGATCTGGTGATTGTTAAGTAGTTTTAAAATCTCCGCTAAATAAAATAAATGTTTTCATCGAGGTGGTAATGGCCTTTTAGGAATATGTTGTTTAATGGAAAGGTTTCATCTTTCCACTTCAGATTGTAGTGCCTCAATTGCAAGCGACTTCGGCATTGAGCTATATTTATTGGGAAATTACTCTCCCATAAATAGAAAGAAGTTAAAGTTTTTAAAATTAATAATTGATTATTATTTAAAGTACTAAAAATAAACTTTATTACCAGAATTGAAAGTGACCTTAACCACGTTTGTTGCGATAGCTAATTTTATTAAAGTATTAAACTAAGCGAGTTGAATGTGTTTTTAGGTACTTTAAAATAATAAAGCGAGGGTGGGTTAACGATTTAACGATAAACGAATGGATAAGGAAGTGTGATGTGCGTAATAATAACGCGTTATGCTTGTAGTCAAACAATAAACCCGTAATATTTTATTGGCAATCTGCCCGGTACGCAGAATAAACTCATTGAGTAATAAACTGTATTCACATTTTCAACATTAAATCAATCCGTTTTGGATACCTTAAAGCCTTTAAAGTTTAAAACAACTTCAAAGTTTGATTTGAATATAAAATCGAAACTAAATTTTAACAAGAAATAATAGAATTGTTTACACGAAAGCATTATAAATTGTAATAAAACGTAAAGTTTCCCGTTTTAACTCGAGTTGTGAAAATAAATAACGTTTTAAATTGAAGTTTCTCTTTTTAATTCTTTTCTTCCTTTTTTAAAATAGTGTTTAGTATCGTGTGTTAATGGGTTGTTAACAATTATTACTCTTTGTTTCAAAGAAAAAACAACCGATAAGAATTAGTGGTAAAAAAGAAATAAAACTAAACAGCAATTATGAATCAAAATTTCTTTTGTTCACCTTATCATTTAGTTGTGGTAAATTATGTGTAATATAAAAATTCTATAAGAAATGAAATAAAAGCATTATTTATTTGTGTTAATTAATTTTTCTTATTATTATTAAATTTAATAAAAATCATTTCAACCGTGTAATTGAACTTTTGTGGGTGAGAAAATAGAACTCAACACACTCCGATATTTAATCGATAACCATTCAATAATTTAAGAAACTTCGAACGACCCAACCTAATTTAATACACTTTCCATACATGTTCTTAGAAGATTATCGTGTCCAATTTTGGATCGAGCCAATTAAACCCGTGCCTATTCGACGTTTATTTTCAGTTTTAACTGGTTCTAATGTTATCGTCTACGCACGTGAAGTTTGCCTTTAATTACTCGATTAAACTCTTATTAAGACTTTAACAACTTCCTGTTTGTAATTTTTAAATCAATTTTTTTCCGAAAATATTCAAATAATTGTGTTTGATAAGAATAATAAATCGATAATTTTAATGATTCAATTTCTTATAATAATTTTTTTTAACTTTAATTTTTGATATATACATGAATAATGAATGAGTTAATTTTAAACATGACAATAGTATTTTAGTGATTCATTACATTGCTAAACTATAAGAAAATCAGAAGAAATATGTTATACAACTACGGTTTGACCTTTATATATACCTGGAATGATTAAAAAGTGTTTCCATTATGTAATTAATCGGAATAGGGGATTTTTCGATAAAAAAAATTCATTTTACTAAGAGGGTTGCCATAAAAAAGAAGTTACAGCAAAACTTCGATATACATAATGGACAAAACATTTTTAAGTCATACTATCAATATTATATTTAAAATATCAGTGTATTTAAGTATAAATGTTAACATTCATAAATATAATCCAACTCGGGTTACTCCTCAAGTTGCTCTATTCCATGTTCATTGATAAACTCGGGGTATTCCCCGAGATGTCTATACGATGTATAAAACTAGGATAGTAGTTCTAATTGGGGTTTATCCGTACGTCTCTTAAGACGGCTCTTAGCAATCACCAGATCATTACTGTGTACTAAGAAATTTCAGCAAAGGTAAAAAGGTGGTTTTTATTAGAAGAACGAGAATGGACTAGAACTAAGGAGACAGGAAATGACGAGAAGAAAGAAGTTAGATAGACTGCACAGAAGAAAACGAGACTATGCAGGACGAAGGGGGACCCCAAAAATCTGGTAATTGAAGAAACATATTGAACAGAGGCTGAAAAGATAAGAAAAAGACTGGACAAATAAAAGCAAGACTCTAAACAGATTTGTAATAGAAGAACGACACTGAAAAGAGACTGGAGAGAAGAAATCGAGACTTCGCGGAACGAGAGGAGGCCACAACAGTTCGGAAATTGAAGAAAAAACCGAATAGAGACTGAAAAGAGATTGCACAGAATGAAACGAGACTGGAAATAGCTTTATAATAGAAGAAAGACAGTCACTAGAGAGTAGAGAGAAGAAAACGAGACTTTGCAAAACGAAGGGAGGCCACAAAAGTCCAATAATTGAAGAAAAAATCGAATAGAGATTGAAAAGACATTGCACAGAATGAAGCGAGACTGGAAATAGGTTTATAATAGAAGAAAGACACTCACTAGTGACTGGAGGGAAGAAAGAGAGACTTTGTAGAACGTAGGAAGGCCACAAAAGTCTGGTAATTGAAGAAAAAAACCGAATAGACCCTGAAAGGAGATTGGGCAGAATGATGCAGCACTGGAAATAGATTTATAATAGAACAAAGACACTCACTAGAGACTGATCAAAAGAAAGTAGAGTCTGTAGAACGAAAGAAGGCCATAAAAGTCCAGTAATTGAAGAAAACAGCGAATAGACCCTGAAAAAAGATTGGGCTGAATGACGCAGCACTGGAAATAGATTTATAACGGAACAAAGACACTGACTAGAGACTGGAGAGAAGAAAAGGAGACTTCGCAGAACGAGAGGAGGCCACATCAGTTTCGTAATTGAAGAAAAAACAAAATAGAGACTGAAAAGAGATTGCGCAGAATGAAACTACACTGGAAATAGGTTTATAATAGAAGAAAGACATTCACTAGAGACTAAAGATGAGAAAACGGGACTTTGTAGAACGAAGGAAGGCCATAAAAGTCCGATAATTGAAGAAAAAACTGAATAGACCCTGAAAGGAGATTGTACAGAATGATGCAGCACTGAAAATAGATTTATAATAGAACAAAGACACTGACTAGGGACTGGAGAGAAGAAAACGAGACTTTGTAGAAAGAGGGAAGGCCACGAAAGTCCAGTAATTGATGAAAAACTGAATAGAAACTGAAAGCAGATTAGGCAGAATGAAGCCAGACTAGAAATAGATTTAAAATATAAGAAAGACACTCACTAAAGAAACCGAATAGAAACTAAAAAGAGAAGAAAGAGGTGAGATTGGAATTAGACTTGTAATAGAAGAAAGACACTCACTAGAGACTGGAGAGAAGAAAACGAGACTTTGCAGAACGAAATGAGGTCCTAAAACTCAGATAATTAAAGAAAGAAACGGAATAGTGACTAAAAGAAGAAGAAAAAAACTGGGTAGAAAGAAGCGAGAGTGGAAGCAAACTCAGAACACTAGAAAAACACTGACTTCAGGCTGGACAGAAGAAATGCAATGTTTGGAGAACGAAGGAAGACTACAAAACTTCCAGTAATTTCTTAAGAGAACTGAGCAGACACTGGAAAGAGAAGAAAAAGACTGGGTACAAAGAAACAAACCTGAAAATACACTTCTAAAAGAAAAAAGTCACTAACTACAGAGAGTGGAGAGAAAAAAAGAGGTTGTAGAAAGAGGGGTGACCAGAAATTTCCGCTAATTGAAGAATGAAACTGAATATAGACTGAAAATAGAAAAAAGAAACTGGGCAGAATGACAAGAAAAAAAGACTAATCCGAGCCAACGATATATCCAAATTTGGCAACGATATCCAGGAATTATTACCGATTTCTGCGAGTTTCTAAAGTTTTAAAAGGATATGCAAAGATATATACAAGATTCTGGAGAACTTATTTTAAGAAATTTTAATATATTTCTAATATTCTTATAAGGTTTCCAAATAATTTAGAAATACAATTTATTGTGACTTCCAAAAATGTTAAGGTATTACAAAAAATGTTCTGAAATTTCTTTGGATTTCCATAAAAGCTTTTAAAATTTGAAAGAATTTGGCGAGTCTGAAGACGTACAACTAAACCTGAAACTTTCTGTTAGTTCTAATACTAGTGTTAGTTCTAGTTTTAGTAATTATTCAGCGTTAGATTATTGTATATTTCTCTAGAAAATACTAACCTAGAAAATACCGAGGTTTTACTGTATTTCAGTTTAAAATTGTAAGCATTTTTTGTTAACACTAAAAAGTATTTGACGTCAATGAGACCATTACAATTGATAAATAGTAAAAATGCAAACTAATTGGTTTCTAAAAATATTTTTAAATTATACCATTTTTTTTGAGAAACAAATATTAATTTCTTGATGATTGTGATGTAACCTAATTTTACCAATTAAAATTCAATTTTACAATATACCAAGAACATTAAAACAATAACCTTGAACATTACATAACAAAAAATTGTTGTTAGAAAAATGGTGTGCAAGTTTTTTAACCTATAATTATTTAAATCGCGTTCTTGATTTTAGGTCCTCGTGAACAAGAACAAGCCAAAGAACTAAAAAAATTACAAGATGAGCTAACCATTGATCTTTCGACTGATTTAATTTCTTCGGATAAAGAAGGGTGGAACAAAATTATTAATAAATACGCTTTAAAGCATGAAACCCTTCTGTTGGAAGCTGTCAGTGCTGGGTATGGAGAAGGAGGAGGCGAAGGAGGGAGAATATGGACTTATCCCGGATGTATACTATTTGCTGTATCTTTATTAACAACTTTAGGTAAGACATAATTTTTTTTTTATTTCAAAACAACAAAAAATTATGCGAGGATAATAAATTTTCTATTTACTCGAGTATGATGGTAAAATTTTTTTTTTTCTTGAGGAAGCTGTTAATGATTCATTCGCACATCGTAAACTAAAATAGAGGATGTTGCTAAAAAAGAGTGAAAAGCGTAACGTTCCGATTTTGACCTTGATGTTTGCTAACAATCGGCTATTTTCACTCTAGCGAACAAAAAATGGTTTAGATTTTAGATAAAATTTATTAAAAATAGATTTAAAAAATTAATTGATTTACAATTATTTATAATTCATTGTTTTTGTAGGTTTTGGTGCTCCAGTTCCAAGAACACCGTTAGGTCGAGGTGCCGCAATATTATTTTCAGCAGTTGGCATCCCTCTTCATTTCCTACTCATTTTAAACATAGGCAATTTAACAGCGGGGATTTTATACAATTTAGCAACAAAAGAACCAAAAACTGAAATCCCTAACATATCGACTGGCGTTACAAAAACAGCGACGTGGTTAAAATGGCTTCCTTTAATTGCTGTTTTATTCTATTACGCGATAGGTGTCGCGCTTTTCGGAGTCCTACGATCAAGAGGGGTGGTCGATAGTTTAATGTTTCCTTTAGATTTTACAGCAGCCGGTGGCGTAGCTAAAACTTCCGGTGTGGTACGGATATTTTACGCCCTCTATCTTGAATTTGCGGTAACGTTAGCGGCCATTATCGTCTCGCTAGTTCAGGTAACTGCCACGAGGGGTTTTATTGATTTAGGTTTAAAACTTGGATTGTTAACTAATAATTAAATTTTGAGAAATATTTTTGAGCTAGTGCCTTTTAGAGGGTGTAAAAAAATGTTAAAGCAAAGATAAATCTAAGGAGAAGAACATATCGAGTTGTGAAACGTCCAAAATATGCCTTATAAATAAAAAAATATTAACTTAGAAGCTCTTTTTTTTTGATTTAAATATTTATCAATTTAATTATTGTTAATGTGATATTTAATTTTTAAGTATTACGCCGCTAAGTATTAATTTATTTAGTGAATATTGCGTTAAAAGAATTTTTTGTAAATAATGTCAAAATGAGAATTGTGTTGAATTCGATGACTGTTGTGAAATTAATTTATTATATTTTTCGATTTATTGTAGTTATTAAAAAAGGTGGATTTTAATGAAGTGTTATGGATTAATGTAGATATTTATGCGTTTTTTTCTTTATCCTCTTTTCTCCCAGCACATCCCTTCCGGGGTCGTAAAAACTTATACGAAGAGAGAGTTTTGTACGTCGAAAAAGACATTTCCATTAAACCTCTCAACCGAAGTTTCCTGTTTACGATATTGATTTATGCCGGATATAATACGATCGTGACTGATACGACTTTCTGAACCTTTTTTCCACAACTCAAAATCAACAAGCGTCACAATTTCCAGCTTTTCGATTTCCCCACTTATCAAGTTTTCACGATTTCCATAATTGTAATAACTGCATGAGAAATGGTTACATATTGGATTTGACAGATTTGTGATTATAAAGGTAGAGTAAATTTTGGTTAGTTTTAACCATATAAACAACTTTTCGATGTATTTTAGGTTTTTGTTTTGCATCCAGCTTTTTTAAATAATTAGTTAATTATTTACAACCTCAATTTTAAGTTCTTTAATTACTTATTACAAACGATGCATATTTGAATCAACGTCAAATTGTTCCTTTGTGGAACTTGGAACATGGTGATACTGATTTCATCCTATTCTGGTATTACGAATTTAAATCCATTGAAAGAATCCATTTCCGGTGCTGCATGGAGAACCGGGATTATGAACTCGATGTTTAAAAGGTCGAAAATTCATTTTCTCTTTTCTTCATAAAATTAAAGTTGTCAACTTTCCTGAAATCAGAACAAAGCTTTATTTATTTGATAGTGTGTTAGTATGTCGGAACACATTAGAATTTTCTTTTGGAAAACCTTGTCATTCGTTCGATTGAGTCGTCATCTCAACTATATCGATTTTGCTTGTCTTAAGGGTCGAGATTACATATGTAGGTACAGATGCTATTTCATTTTTTTTTGCGTTAGTGATAATCGTTACATCATCAGTTTCAGGTGTTAGGGATCCAACCTTCCGCGTTTTTAACTCGGTTTTTGTAGTGTGATAAGATGTGTTTAATCCATACTGTGTTATCAGTTATCAGTAATCTTTCCAAAGTTGTCGAGATATTTAATTATCAATAATAGATCGCCGCAGGTGACAATTTATTTGCCAAACTACTCTGGCTTGTCTCATCCTACGTGTATTGCCATGGGACGTAAGTGTAAGATGTACTTATTCAGTATAATAGATCTGCTTCATTTTTGCTACAAATTAGTTAATTAGAGCACATCATCTCCTATAAATGCGCGAACAAAGCGATAGGTTATTTGCGCCTCTTTTTGTTGGATCCACATCTCACAGCAATACAATATTATAGTGTTGTATATGTTCATCAGAAATTGGAAATTTTCTTCAGTGCTTGTTTGGGTTGGACCCCATCACTTCGCCATAATATGGATTAACATAGTGTTAAAAGCAAATCTGGAATTTCTCTTCTTGCCGAGAATCTTCCTTTCCAGTAAACCATTTGTGATCTATCCTGGAGATATGTTGAAGAGTGAAAGTGAAGTACACCTTATACCGTAGTACTCTAGCTTAGCGAGCCGACTTTGGTGGTCGACGCAATCAAAAGCCTTTGTCAGATCGCAGCATTTGATTAGTGCTTCTTCCTTTTTCTTGAAAGCATTTGCTATCAGTTCCAAAGGACCCGTAACCACGTGATGATGTGGATCTTAGCTTTCGGTAACCGTGTTGTTCGGTGCTAAATATGTTGTGACTTTCAAGAAAGCCAATCAGTCGCTTCTTTATGACTCGTTCAAAGACCTTGGATAGTGTTGCTTGTATTGCGATGGGCCTGTAATTAGCGCAATTCGCTTTGTCACCACTCTTGAAAAGAGGCACTACCTTTAAAACTTTAAATTCTTCTGGGTAAATTCCATCTAGCATGCATTGATTGATAGCATCTGTTAACGGTTTTGCTATTTCGTCTCGTATATAGTTTAATAAAACTGATGAAATTCCATACAAGTCTAATGTATTTTTTGATTTTAGGTTCTGTATGATACTTCCTGGAATATGATTCTTGGACGAATGAAAGTCAAGGAGTATATAGAGCACCTGATTTTAGATTAAGTGTAGATACGATTACAACACGATTACAACGTTTCACCATGCAATATATGAACTCCTCTGATTCGTAATTATTACAACCAAAAATAAACAACCCTAATCATAACGAGAGATTTCGTGCCGAAATAAAAAGCATTTTAAAGCGAACCCAATTCCAAGTCTACTAAAAATCATATAAATAATAAATATTGGTGTTAACATTTCTTGAATTCATCTCATCAAAATAAGTAAATACATAGGGAGCATTTGAAGTTAAATATGCTTTAATATTTAACTTCAATTGAACATTATATTGTTTTGCAATTCCCATAAATATTGATGACACGATATTTTGAATAAAACTTTACATAATTCTAATAATTTTAGAAAAAACATTGCGTCGCAAGAATTAATTAACATATTATGATGAAATAAAAGGCAATGTTACGACTACTGCTTTTTCGCGCATAATTATATTTGACGATTTTCTCGGGATACGAATTAAGTTGAGCTGGTTATGCAGTCACAAGGTAGGTAAGAGAATTGAAGGGATTTAGTGTTAATCGTGTTTCCACGCCAAATGACTCTTAGGCCCACTTTTACCACCTCTTGATAAATTTAACCGATAGATAAATTGGCGCTCTTAGCCAATGAGAGCGCTTAAAACCGCTGTAACCATGGTAATTATCTATCGGATAAATTTATCAAGAGGTGGTAAAAGTGGGCTTTAGTCTGTTCTGCTCTGCAGGTAGTTTGAGCCTTATTGAGTGCTAGATAGCGCTTGCAGGTATGGTAACCTAAGCAAACTTGTTACACTTTGAACTTCCTTTTATAAAAGGTGCATTCGATGAGTGAGATTGATCATGGTATTGGTTTCATCTTAGTGGCCTTGATGTAATTTTGCATCTTTCACTTCGAAATATACTTGAAGAATATGGAGATGTTCATCTAGGGTTCAAGCTCATCTATGGGTTGAATGAAAAGAACATGTTTTAGAAGTGTCATCTGGAAGTGTTGTTAAGAAAAATTTTACAAATTGATTTGTAGCAGATTTTTAAAAATCTTTTAAATTATGACCATCATGTTATGTGTCATTATCTGGTATATCGATATTGGTAATATTACTGATATTATATAGCCTTCAAAAATTTACACATTCGCACTAGAGTTTTTAGTTAGAACATGAACTTTTAATTTGAAATCACATTTGCATCACAAGAGCTGGAATGAGAGCAAAACGTTTGGAAGAGTATTCAGTAGAAATTAAGCATAGAGTGCTGCATTCCAGAACTTAAAAAGGAAAAAATCTATGATTTTTAAATTCTACCAGTGTCACACTAATTAAGGAAAAACTCAAAAAGTGGTGACTCATGGAAAATAGTAAATTTATGCTATTTTATATGCACAAAAGTTATATATTATGTAGATTTATACTTAAGAATGAGAATCATACCAAGGTATTATGTAATGAAATATTCTGCAAATGTATCTTACATTCGTTTTGCTTCTAAACTTGGTCACCTCTGCACTTTATGAAGGAGTAAGATGACAACTTGTTAATAAAACATATACAATCAAAATAAGAGTGACTTATGAGTGTGGTAGCAGTGATTTTCAGGTAGTTTCAGCTGGAGGTGAAGCATACTTCGGTTCAATGTGGTTCATTAAGACCACATTGAAAAATCTTACAATTAAAATAGACAGTTCAGCTGTTAATTACATAGAATATATCATTGTTTTTTGCCCACAGTGAGGAAAACTTCAATTTCTGTTCAAATCATTCCGTTACTTTTTTCCATTTCTAGGAAGTTGAGAATCTAACAAAAAACGAAGGATTACGAACAATTCAAAGGTTAAGCTAACAAATGATTTCTTGTTTAACAAACTGAGACACAAAGTTATTCGACTAATAATATTGAAGATATGCAGCTAAGTTGTAAACTATACAGGATGTTTCACTTAAAACTCCCAGGACAAGCATCTCTGAAATAGGTAGAGATATCTTAGTTTTGTAAGAAGTTGTTGTTAGAGTACATAAATGACTTCAGTTCTTAAATATTATTATTATTCATTATACAAAAACAAAGATGACGCTGCAGTCAAAAGAAACTCCCTTCATCACAACGTTTTATTAAGTGCATGTGATAGAGCATCAAAAACTGTACAACTTTCCTTATTAACATTGATTTTAAAACTTAGCGGATTCGAAGATATTTAACATTAAAGAAGAAAATAATTGAAATAAAATTATTCATATAAACCGACATGGAACATTCTTTTCTAACATAAACTAAACAATAAAAGTAATAAAGAAAATAAAAAGCAGAATTACATTTTAAGTAATAATTAATTATTTTCGCCATAATAATAATTGGAACAATAAAGAAAAACTTATAAAAACTGCGAAACTACTTCCATTTTCATGCACGCACAATTCGAATCGTCTTACCAATTCAACAATCGTCTTGGATTCTTGCGGTTTAGGTACTGAGTCACTATCTGTGCGTTATGTGGAGGTGCACCATCTCTCTGAAATCACGTCGGTGTTTTTAATGCGTCCAGCAGTTCAGAATGGTTGTTCTGCAGAAACTCCAGGTCTCGGTGACTTATTGATTATAAGGTTGTTTGATTATTTGTTTGTGCGGTCCAACTAAGATTGTCTTGAGACCAATATCGATTGTTTTGCTTGCATACTATTCCATTATTATGAAAACGATTTTCGTTGCACCACAGAATGTTATTGAGAAAGTTGTTTCTTTATGCCAAAACTGAAAATTCAGTCAGGAACTGAAGTCAACGGATATCGTCGCCTAATGGGAAGTGTTGAACAAAATTTACCGCAAAAATGTATTTGTTTTTTAAATTCTATGACTTGTAACACAAATTTCCGTGTTCTTTTTGTAGCCGCAATGATTTATGCGAACTGTTATTTATTATTTGCAAGATCATTGCAGTTTTCATCACCTCGAACTCGTTTGTCTCTATCATTTCTGTTTCTTAAATGTTCTTAAATTGGTAAGGTTTGTGGATAAATTTATGAACGTTTCCTTTCTGGAATTAATCGCAGTCTGTGTAATCGTACCGCTTTCGAAGATTTAACTTATCTTTTCGATGTTCGATCACCTAATAAAAACTTTTCATTAAAGGCAAAGTTTTTTTAACTGCAGCACCATCTTTATTTTTGTACAATGAAAAATAGCAATACTTATAAGAACTGAAGTCATTTACGAACTCGAGCAAAAACTTCTTACAAAACAACAATATATCAACTCATTCCAGAGATACTTGTCCTGCGGGTTTTAAATGAAATGCTCTGTATATAAACTAAAATATTGTTAACTTTTACAACAAAAGTGAATATATTTAAAGCGCTCTAAAAGAAGATAACATATTTGTACATTGGATGAAGCATACAAATTTTAAAAGAAATCGTAATTGTAGACACAAATTGCATAAACGGAATGAAGTTATAAAAGATGTGTAATGAGTCATATTGACAATTTTCTTATTAGCGCAAAAACATCGCTATTGAATCGAATAACGGTTTAGTCGTTTTGTTACTTGATTTTTACTGCAGCCCAACCTACTATTGTGTTAGACAGCGGATCTGACACTAACCTTGCATGCGCGATGTGCTTTGAGCGTGCAGAGATTGAAGACGGTTTTAGTGAAATTACTACATGAAAAGATTGTTACATGAGATATTACCGCTATCATAATCTACAGTTGTGAATTATTGTCCTTTAACCATGATAATTAATAAATTAATCCAGCCTGCATGGATTCGTTTTAATGTATTCATTAACACTATTCATAAATTTATTTCAAAATTATTAATAATTCATTTATCATATGCCTATTTCAATAATAAAATTGTAATAACTAAATGAAAAATGGTAACCTTTCGGATTTGACGGGGTTTGGTCATATATTTTCGATAACACATCGAGTTGAAATAACATTTCTTGTGCCAAGAACAGTTTCGAAACCCAATTTATTCTCATTTTTTAACCATAATTCTCGTTTTCAATTTTCTTTTACAATTTTTCTTCCTCGTAAAGATTAAAAAGTAACTGATCAAAAGGGTTATAGTTGTGTAATTTAACCTTGTTAACACTCCAATTGATCCGTGGAACTCCGACTGTTCTCTGTAATCTCCTTTACAAGAAATTTACTGTGTACGTCGGTTTCGGGTTTAATCAAAAGCTCTGCGTGACGTGAGGTTCTTAAACGAAATGATTAATGATGGATCATCTTTGAATTATAACATGATCAGATCTTGTTAAATTCTAATCAAATAAAGAATGGATTAAGAAAAAAATTCTTATTTGATTATGTAATGTTGTGTATAATCGATTATGTGGATGATGATTCACGAGAAACGTTGGGTAACTAGCTTCGCTAATTTAGTCCCAGTTGAACTATAAAAAAGGCTATCATCGATATGTAATAGAAACTTTGGTGTCATGTAACCAGTTAAGGGAAGAAAAAAAGTGGTAAAATTTGACGTAGAATTTAAATTTACGAGATAAAGGGGAGGTCGTTAAATAGAATTAACCCTCCTCGTAGTTATTACGAATAATGGGACCCTTTTGGAAAATTTTCTAACTAAACTAATATTTGGTTTAATAAAATTATTAAAAAAATTCTCTTTTATGCTATTTAATGAAAATTTTTTCTTTAACTTTTCTTATCTAAATCGTTTTTAATAAAATTTTGATTTATGGAGATTTTTTTGAGTTGAAATGTATTGCACAACCTGCTTTTTCATCTAAAAATTTCATAAGCAATATTACATATTTTTCAATAAAATAGATTCAATTTGAATAAAACCCTTTTCCTATTCATCAAATAAAAAGTTGAAGTTTCTTATAATACATATTTCCATCTATAACGTATCTATTTTTCAATACATATTATCACTATTTCCTTTTGGTCGTCCTACGCAGGGTGAGGAACGTGACAACCAACGATGGGTGCGTGGGTGGGGTCCAAACGACACCCGTATAAGCGTCGGATCGTCGTTCGAAGGACCTCACTCGCAGGTTGTCGTTCGTCGGTAACACAGTGTGCTCTTAGGAGTCAACGAAGAAGCGCCATAAAAACGACGACGATAACGACAAACTTATATTATTATTAAATTAAGGGAAAACACCCTTAAATCAAGTTGGTTTAGTTTTAACTGGGGTTTTCTTCAGTCTTAAAGGGCGTCTAGACGCCCGTTTTATATTTTTTTCAAAAAAGATGCGGTCGACGACTCTTGTTGTTACCGCTTGTGTGCTTTTGGTCGTTGCCACTTTAACACCATACACAGGGGCTACACCATACTTTCAAGATGAAGGTAAGTTTTCGTTTAATTCTCCTTTTTACAACTATTTTCTTTTCGAAAACTTTTCAAATTACATTGCTTCATAAAATATTGTTTCATAACAAATTTTCTTTAGTACAAGAAAAGTTTTAAGCGGAGTGTCGAAACTAGGTGTCAAAAACTTGTTAACCCGTACTCCACTAAATAAAGTTAACGATAAAGTTAAGGTCGAAGTTATTTATTAAAGATCTTGTTAGATGTTGTTTTCGATCAAGCTCGAATGAAGTTTATTTCCCGTTGAGAGTGCGATTCAATTAACTGTACCAAACATTAACTATAAGGTTTCTCGGGATATTGACAGGATATAAATTGATTCTAGTCACGTTTTATCAGTACAAAGAATTTCTAAGATTCATCAACACTTTTAGGAATGTTAAGAATTTAAAAAAAATAAATTTATCAAAGTTACATAGATAACAAAAAATATCTAAAAATAAAAAATATGGATTGAAGGTTACTTAGAAAGTTCTCCTAGATCATTTTGACAGCGGATTTATCTCTTCCAATTTCCTGTAAGGCCACACCGACCACACAAAGACACTTACCCCCTTGATATATCACATTCTTGGGGTCGGAGTTTCAGTAACAACCCAACAGTGTATTTCGTTCAATATACTTTACTCCGCTCTATTTCGCCTCCTCGTGTATATGACATTGAGAAAACCTTGCTGTTTGCATACTCGTTTCAGTGGCTTTTTCCTATGTATATCCAAGATAACGATAATAAGAAAAGATTTGTTTAAAAACAATTTAATTTAATGTTTGATGAATTAATGTCACCTTTGGATTGACAATAACGATTTGTTTAAAGTTTGAACTATGAATGAGGGTTCTTTGTGTTTCATCAGATAAGACCGTTTTGTCTTCCCTCCCTTTTGGATAATATCCGGGGGTGGATTGAATAAGGAAAGTTGTAGAGTTAACAATAAACCGACGTACGATAAGCTTTGTAGTTTTCTTTCAGAGAGTTTGTAAACCCCAAGTCGATTCTTTTGTAAAAATTCTTAGAAAAATAATAATTATTTCGCTGGTTTTCTAAGAACTTTGTGAACTTAATGTTAACTAAAATCATTATTAAGTTGACGGCGAGGAAGCATTCTTGGTTTCCAGAAAGAACAAGAACTTGAATTATATTTTTAAATAACGCGATTTACATGGAATTCCGAATTTACTATAATCTAAGTAATTACTTTTAATTACTGTAAAAACTTAGAGAAGGTTGGAAACAAGATTTTGAGAAGGGTTTCGGTCAGAGTGGATAGAAATATCATCAGAATTATTGTATGGAATTAGCAGGATCGTAGAGATAGAGAATTAGCTAGACGAGAAATCGGGTATGATTAATAATAAATACAACCTTATAGCTGAATATCTATAATGTTGGGAAGAAGAAAAAGTAATATTGCGCATCTTCATCTTTTGCATATTGGGCAAAAGATGAAAAAGATTCTCCAAATTGTATGGAAATGATTGGAAAACGACTGATTATATGTTGATCTATAACGAGATAAAATAAAGGGTGGTGGAGTGGGGAAAGATGTTGGGTCATGTAAATTTATGATAATTATATGCATGTGTAAGCAAATAATAAGTGTCGGATACAAAGTCGAACCAATATCTTCATTTTATAACGAGCTTAGAACTTTATATCTTTATAAATCTGGATTGTCTTCCATATCTGGATTTGCAATTACGTCGGACAATATAATATAATATTTCGAGGTATTTGCAGATTAATTGGCAACAATTAATGCTATAAAATCCTGAACGCTTAGAAGAATTAGTTTTTGTTATAAATATTAATGACCATTCTTCTGTCTTCTTAGATGCCCCTCTTCTTTATTTAAGTTTTCTCCATTACATACTTTTTTAACATTTTGAAAGAGTTGTGTCTGGTGATGTGGACTTCCAACTGTCCTTCTAATCTGTCTTTTTGGTGTTTACTGGTGTTTTACTAGTTATCCTTTTAATACTATTCGCGGTAAATTTCGCGGATGTGTTGTCATTTTGGCTTATAACACTTAGTTTTGCTCCTATCTTCCCGTGTCTCTATTCCGTATATTATTATGATCCTTATACTAATTTTATAAGCTCTTATCTTGCTGTGTATTCGCATGTATGGACTTGACCACACGATCTCTCTTAAGCATCGTTATAGAGATCGCTTTATTAATTTTTCCTGGATCATGTCTGTTGGAGATATGAAATCCAAGACAATTGAACTGACTAACTTGTTCGATGGGCTTATTTTCTATCACAAGTTTGCATTTTATTCAGTCTTATTCAGTTGTTACTTAAAAAGCAGAACTTAAAAAGATTATCTTCCGTTTCTACCATAATTGCTGCATCGTCTACGTAGCATATCCCTTACTATCTTTAGTTATTCTATAATTTAATGACTGTATAATTCTGTTCATTATCAGCTTAAACAGGAATGAGTTTAAGCTGCCGTCTTGCCTAATTCTAAGAAAAAATCTCCAATTATACAACTCACATTTTAGATTGTAAGAAAGTTTTTGGAGTTTCCCTGGCCAGATTATGCACTGCTAGGAGAAAGTTAAAAGCATACTAAATATAAAAGATTAATATTAGTCTTCAGTCTTCCTTCATCATTCCTTTATGGCTTAACTGGCTAATTTCCAACATTAAAAGTTACAGCTAATTTTTCTGCAACCAATCATTGCTTTTATTTTAACAACCATCCTCCTGCCCTAGAGCCTTAATAACTACTTTTAGAGACGCTTTTCATTCTATCCTCGGCACCTCCACCAAATGCCTCATTCTCCTTAATCGCTCGATTAAGAAAGCTACATCGATCTACATGGTCCTCGTACACCTGAGTTTTCTCTGAAATCTGACTATCTATTGGAGAGCTACTAAACAGCTTTAATCCTTTCTAACGTTTATGTTTTCCTTAGATCTGTCGAACTAAATCGAGCAAACTTCCCCTTACTTCACACCTTACATAAACCAGTAAAGCAAAGCAGTAGATATCCTACGAAACATGAATTTGGCACTAGGTTTCCTGTTAGTAACAGAATCAAACACCTAGTAATCGGATTTGCCCCAATAAATCACAGAATATGTGTCATAAGATTGAAATTTTTCAATATGAGCAACAAACGACAAGTATTTGTCCACGTCGCATTGCAGAGTACAAAACATATCTTGTTTGGTAGCATTTTTTATGGAAATAATTTTTGTTGATTTCTTAGTGATTCTTGTTCAATAATTCTTAAATAATCGAAGTAAACCTCTGTAATATTTGCTTAATTTAAGGACATATATCACAAAACCAACGTTACGGGAAGTTAACCTCTACATCGTGGTTATTTTGATAAATATGGCAGTATTAGGATTAGCGTCTTAAATCAATATTAGAAATGTGACGTAATTGGTAACCTGCCTAATTTAGATTTTACGTTCCACGTTTGTATATTTCTAGCGTTTGAAATTTAAGATGTGCAAGATTTATTTCTCAAATGTTAATGTTCATATTCGAAAACAACACCTTTTTTGCTCCACTCTCTAGACCTGAAAAAGAAAAAAAATTTAGGTACTAAAATGTTGCTATCTATCTACATGCAAACAATTTTTCATTAAACCTCTTTTGTCCAATTTCAAAGAACCATACTCCTTATTTTGCTGTATTTTCTAAGAACCTCGTTCACTTTTGACGAGACTCTGACGTTAATTTTTCTTTCTTGGAAAATTGTTAGAAAATCAAGTTGTTTACGTAGGCGATTTTAAATTATAATCGATTAATTGAGTTATGAAAATGGTTTACGACGAATTGTTCAAAGTTGTTAAATAAAAAGAACTTTATTCATAAAATGACCTTGTTCTCTAATTTTGTTTTTGATTAAATTTAATGTTAAACACGTTCGATAATGGCTGTAAACGAGGAAACGGAGGTCTGGATGTAATTTCGTTATGTCGTAACTTTCCTTTTTCGCGTGGAAAGCCGGAAATCCTCGTTAAATATGGCGTACCCTCGGTTTCGGACGTAAATCCTATTTGTTTTGTTCCTTTATCGAATACTAAGGAATTAAATGTAATGATACTAAAAAGAAGCTTTTACGATTACAACGCTATCTATCTAATTATAAAGGAGTAAAATATTTAACAAATACTTAAAAGAAATTGAAATAGAAACGATAATCGTTTTCTATATATAACTTAATGGATCTCTTAATGTCGTTTTTTTAATGTTCGATTACTTGTATTATTTATTGGAGAAAATGGAAAGGGTGACATTGAATTTTTTTTCGCCATAAAATAAACATTCGCCGCTCCTCATTCAATTGCAATAATTACATCAGTGTTTTAAAATTCACTCTGTTAAAAAATTTTTAATTATAAAAGGTTAATAAGTAAACATAGTTAAAAATTAAAAAGCTTTTTCTGTAGAAAAAATTCCCTACAAAATAGGAGAAGTTATAAAATATGCTCTTTTTTCAATTATCCAACAGGATTAATTTTGAAAATGTACAGGAAATGTTTCTATTTCCAAGCAGTTATTAAAATTTATGAGGGTTATTAAACGAAAGTCATCATATAGAAAACGATTTTATGACCAACCCAATTTATCGTCATTCCCAAATTAATCCGATAAAACTACGTTTTCTTATTTTGGTGATATCTAAAATGATATCTAATATGTTTAATACTCGTAATAATCGTATTCAAAAAGAAACCATAGATTCTTCTTTATCATTGATTATTAACCAATTAGTCAATTACCCTTAATTAGACCCCTCCCTAGTACCACTAATTATGTTTCTTTACAAAGTGATCGATATCAAAATCGCTCATGTATGTTCCTCAGAGACCCCGGTGACACGTTTCGTCGGAATGACCCTCATGTTTAATTGACTTGTTTACCACTTCCCCCATCTCTTGATTTACGCACACGCTCTTCAAATTCTCCAGTTCCTACAATACGAACCTGTCATGTTGCGAGATTGATGCCGAAGGCCTGACAAACTTCAAAGCAAACAAAGCTTTTAGATTCTGTATGATCGACATTCACAAACACATCTCGTTATCTGTACCATATTTTTCAAGCGTATCTCAATAAAACGATAAAGAAAAGAAAAGTTCGATAAGGTTTATTTTCTTTTTTGATTTATGGTACTTTTTAATTATGTTTTTTTTGGGTATTTTCATTGTTTTTTTAGATGAAGCTTTGCCGTATGACGAAGACTACATAGATAATAATGCGTTGGATCGACTGTTGCAGTCGGCACAAAAGTAAGTTTTTTTTTAAAGAATTTTTAGTAGTTAGTTGAGTTAAAATTACATTGAAAACGCTATTTGCTGTTTTTAGAAGCACCTTTTTAGTGCACCTTTTAAATGTATTTTGTTAATGTTTTTTTTTCTTTTAGAGTATATGTTCTTAGAATAATTGATTAAAATGTCCCTTGAATGTTTTTGTAAATACATAAAAAGAAGTTTTAAGGATTTTTTTAAATATAAATTTTGTAACTGTGGTTATAGGAATAAAACAAAATGAATCATGAAGAAAAATCAATAAACTTTAAAATAAAGAACAATCAATGTTAATTCTTAGGTTATAACTACATTAAACTAAATGGCATAAACATTTCATCAATTATTGGTTATAACAGCTAATAAATACTTACCTTGTTGCTCAATTACTCAATTATTATGATTATAAACATCTTAAAGGATTTGCTTAATTTGAACCACAAGTATATTCAGGACCTCTTAAAGTATCTATTTTGTAAGGAAAGAAATTATTTAAACAAAGTAATGTCGTTTGAAGGTAAGTAACAAGAATACAACATACTCCTACTGGTTGATGAAAAATTTGCAACGTTGAGATTTTGTTAGAGCATATGGAATTATATTATTTCAATTCCCTGGCCATATTACACACCAACCTTTGAAGGTTGGGCCTATTTTACTCAAGCTCAAGAAACGTTCTTTAACATAAAGGGAATAAAATATATCAAATTTTGGCAAATGTTGAAACAACTAAATCAAGCATATGGCAAAGTGGCCACTGTGAACAGGTATATCTTTACAGATGACCAGTTTTCACCAGTTGATGTTTTGCAATCTTCTGAAATAGCTATCAAATCTTTTAGCAATGATAATGATAAAGATGATAATGAAATATCGCCATCAGCAAAGAGGAATCCACATCCAAATGGAATAAAGTTGTGCTACATCTACAGCCAGAAAAGCAGTGGTGGTAACTGGTACTGTGATGTTTCATGATTTTGTGTAAAAAATCAAAGAATATTTAGAATTATAATAGGTATGTTCGCACAACCCAGTCAAACCGGTTCTCTTCTTCTTCTTTCTCTTCCCCAGCGTGCCCCTATCGTGGCAGTGGGGATGGCTTTGGATCCATCTTTTGAAGTTTTCCCTCTCCCCAGCAAGACCTTTGAGCTGCTGTATAATCTTCTCTCGGATGGCCGCAATCTGCGTTACTGTCTCTTACCATTGTCGTTCTTCGGTTTCCTCAATTGTTCTCTCGGCAGGCTGCATTTTGAGCTCTTTTCCAATAAGGCTGCTCCGTACTCTGTCGCGTCATGTCTCTCCTGCAACCATTCAGAGGGATTTCATTTGGCCTGCATTAACGCTACTGATGTTCCTTCTATTTACGGTCCAGCTTTCACTGCCATAGGTAAGTATAGGCACAATGACCGTCTTATAAACCGGCTTACTTTATTCTTTCCAAACACACACCGATTTAGGGTATAGTAAGCATTGGTAACCTTACATTCTATGTGGATGTTATCCACCTTTTTCTCTGTCCTCGTTATCGCCATAACTTGACTCTTCACCTTATGCAACATCTTGCCCCTCTCTTTTAAAGGTTCCTAACCACCATTCTCAAACTGGATTCAAACTTGAACTACCATTATCAAATACGCACATGTCAAATAATGCAAGCAAATGTATTGACATATTTGACAAATTTCCAATTAATTGAATGAGCTCAACTATCTACCAGAAATATTTTTAGTAGTTTCATTGTTACTTTAGTTACTTGTGGCGTGATCCTGACAATATAACAGCCATATATAATTTCTGTTCAACGTCGAGAGTAAATCAATGAAATCAGTTATTTATCAGCAGTTATAGACAGGACTAAATCTGCTGTAACCGTAAGAATTTACCTAAATTGAGCTATTGAAACGCTATAGTTCAACTTTTAATATCTTTTTAATGTCCTAAACCTGCCATATCTAAAACTCTCTAAACTCAGAGGTGTGGTGCTGATTCCAGTCATGTTGGGTCGTTTATTTTCAAAGTTATGAATCGTAAGAAGTTTCTGGAAAACATTTCAAAAAGGCTCATTAACAAGTCTCATATCGTGATTACCAGAATAACACTAGTAAGAAGGATATCGTCAACAGTTGAAAGACTGCTATCTTATTCTACAAGTTGGGGCAAAGCACCTCGATCTCGGAAGTTTCGTTCAACTCTTTCGTATCGACGGGTAAATTGGTGACAGCTTGTCGAATGTTGTTCTTCTGATGAGCCAGGGTCCTAGGATGATCGTTGTAAACAAGCGATTTTAGTTAGATTTTAATTAGATATTCCCATAAAAAAAGTCGCAAGGATCTAAATCAGACGACCAAAACAGTCATTGACACACTTTGTTTGCCGTTGCATTGTCCGTTCGTTTTCTTCAAAAGCTATGGTAGGGCACGCCGATGAAGTTTTCTGGGGTTATCAGGGCCCCAATAGCACATGTTCTGTTTATTTACGGATCCCAAAATGTAGAAGTGAGCCTCATCACTGAAAAAAACAAATGTGTTACGAGGCATGCACCACAGCCAATTTGTAGGTATGAAACTTTAGTTCTTCTTTAATGATTCATCTCACAGAACGAACACACAACCCAACAGCAGCTGCATGTTTGCGTGCAGAGCGTTGAGGGCATTGCAAAAAAAGAAAGCCTTATCATGTCAATATTTTGGGGTGACCTTGCTGTTCGTGGAAACCCCAGATTTTTTTTCTTCACATCACCAATTTTTCTGAAATTGTTTACCCATGAAATAATCGATCACGAGGCGCAATATTGAAATGGATACAGAATGTACGTTGTGTGACGGTGATTGAACGACCGTTAGAAAAGTATGCCTCGATATTGAATGCATGCTTCCACTTCGTCCATTCCATGATTAACGCAACGCCTTCTCGAATTTGGCGCATTTCACCGCGCCAAATTCAACCAAAATAAGAATTTCTATGAATATGTTTTCATTTTTAAACGTAATGTATTGGCATACTGAATCGTTACTTGCAGGCTTCTTTGTTGTTTCAAAAATTCTATCTTATTTTACAATATTGAGAATATGAATTTACAAAATAGACAGTAAACTTGTGGCAGAAACGCACAGATTTATAAAAGGGGATTAATGAGACAATTATGAAAATATGATAATTTTACAAAAAACATTTTAAAATAAATTCGAACTAGCAAATGATACAAGCCCTTTTCAGGATATATTGGTTTAAATTATAATAACATTTAACTTTGAATGCAACTAAATAAACAATGATAAACTAACTATCATAATTAGGTAACAAATACAATCATTTCTGCCTTGTTTATCAAAATTGAAAAATGATTATTATATCAAAGCTGAAACAATTTTATTTAAGTTAATAAAGATTTCTCTGATTAATTAAATTTTCTCTTCTATTAGCGGCTATAAATTTGTGCACACGAAGCGTCAAGAAAAGAGCAAAGAGGATGACGAACCGTAAGGGCTTTTATTAGAGTAGTTTTCTCGCCCTATCTCTTTCCCCCTCTATATCTTCTTGTACATGACTATTTCTATGCGTTATTTTCTTACACCCCTTTTGCTTTTTTCATCCCTTCTCGGGTAATATAAAATTTATTAGATGGAGCGAGGTTGAATTATGAGAGGCAATTTCCGGTAACAATTCCCGGTTAAATTGCGTGGATTTTTTGTTTTTTTTTTTCTGTTTTTCCACTTCTTGTCAAAGCTTTTCACATTTTTTTTTGTGAATGTAAAGCTGATTGTTGGATTTAATTTTTTATTATGAAATATTCGGGACATTTTTGTTGTTGTTTTTTTTATTTAATCTTTTTGATGTTTACCTTTAAAGTTTACATAAAAAAATTTTTCTTGGAAATATTTTTTTTTGTAAATAGTAGTTTTTAAGTGGCTTAGTAGATCGCAAAAAAGGCTGATTGTTAATACAAAACCCCACAAAATACACAAAAAATAAGTCGTTTAGGTGTCCGGAATTTCTTTATAAGCCTTATGTGGTCATAAGAAAATTTCTCTAATTTTTCAGACGTTCTTCCTTAATTTACCTTTTCAGACGAGCTTGTATAAAGCGTGGTGGCAACTGTGACCATCGACCGAACGATTGCTGCTTTAACAGTTCTTGTCGATGCAACCTCTGGGGGTCCAATTGTAGGTGTCAACGCGTCGGACTCTTTCAAAAATGGGGATAAACTTAAATAAAAAGTCACTTAAAAAAATTAAAGTTAAAAAATCTCCTTAATAAAAATGTAAAAAATGTAAAGGTGATTTTTAATCTTTAAACGTTTACAACGACCACGGCTTCGAAATCTGGCTATCGATTTCAGAAGGATTTCAAAAATTATGTTTTAAATGTGTGATGAATTATTGTATTTAAAAAGTACACATTTCAAAATGTTCAGAAAAAAACTCTTTCAGTTCTTTATTTTTCACCAAGAGCTTAAACGTCCGAAACTTTTCTTTTATTTTAATTTGTTTTTCTTGGGACTTTGAGTCTTGGAATTTAGGGGTGAGCCCCTGCCTAATTGGGGGTTATTCCAGCCACACCTCCAAAGAGGCAGTGTATGCTAAAATACCCCTTTCTAAAAATATACATAAATGAGATACAGTCATTAAAGAAACCTGAACAAAAATCCAAAAAAAAGTATATTTAAAAAAAATATATTAAAATTAAGAAAAACGTAACGAGATAAAAAACGAAAGGCATTGTAATATTACTACTGTGTATGTTTGTATAGATGTAATGTGAAACAAAATAAAATTTAAAAAAATAAGAAAAAAAATTAAACTGTTTAAAAGAGGACAACGACGAAAGGGACACTCACGGCACTTCTTCCTCTATCCCCGATATTTTTCCTCGTTAAATAAAAAAAACTTGCATCTCAACGTTTTCGTCGCGGAATCGGAGAAGAATCCGTGCGCCCTTACGTCTCAAAGTACTTATATTTAAAATTAAATATTGTAAAAGTATATATTTACTAAAATACAATTAGTGGATTCGATCCTGTATAAGAATTATATCTTTCTATGTGACAAGGGTACACGATCCAACTGATTCTGTCAATATTAAATATATATCAATTGGCCTAATGTTCTTTTTATTATTCATTTCCTATTTAAAATCCAAAGAAGAAGATTTGAGTAAAGGTAAGTAGAGAATTTGTTTATAACAGAGTTAATTAAAAAAAATCGAATCACCGGTATTTGTAAGATCGAAGAAATTATTTTTGGTGAGTAGAACCTGGATTAAATTTGCTATAAAATGGTATATAAATCGTTTTAATATCTCAATTCGTTGTTGAGATACAATGTTTTAAATCGCTGTTTTATCATTTAATCACAAGTTAAATTTAAAAAGTCGTATCACTGGGGTTTATAAGATCGAAGAAAATATTTTTTGTATGTAGATACTGGATTAAATTTGCTATAAAATGGTTTATAAATCGTTTTGATATCTCACTTCGTTCTTGAGATATAATGTTCTAAATCACAGTTTTATCATTTAACTTCAATTACTATAAGTCAAATTTAAAAAATCGTATTTCTGGGATTTATAAGATCGAAGAAAATATTTTTGGTATGTAGATACTGGATTAAATTTGCTATGAAACCGTTTTTAGATCATCTTGATATCTCAATTATTTTTTCAGATATATTTCTTTCAACCTTGTTGTTCATACACTTAACTTAATACAAGTGAATATGTATTAATGAATTAAAAATATTATAATGTCTAAATTTGTAAATGTAAAAAGATGATTTTTATTTGTTTTAATACTAATTAAATTTGCTTTAAATGGGTTCTTATTTCATGATGATATCGCAATTCGTTCTTGAGATACAATGTTCTAAATCACAGTTTTATCATTTAACCTCAATTACTACAAGCCAAATTTAAAAAATCGTATTACTGGGATTTATAAGATCGAAGAAAATATTTTTGGTGTGTAGATACTGGATTAAATTTGCTATAAAATGGTTTTTATATCATCTTGATTTCTCAATTACTTTTAAAGATACAATTCTTTCAACCTTGTTATTCATACGCTTAACTTGATACTTGATATAATATTATAATGTCCAAATTTGTAAAAGTAAAAAAACGATTTTTAGTTTTTTTAATACTAGTTAAATTTGCTTTAAATTGGTTCTTATCTCATGATGATATCTCAATTCATTCTTGAGATACAATATTTTAAATCGCAGTTTTATCACTTAACCTCAATAATTACAAGCAAAATTTAAAAAATCGTATCACTAGGATTTATAAGATTGAAGAAAATATTTTTGATAAGTAGATACTAGATTAAATTTGCTATAAAATGGTTTTTATATTATCTTGATATCTCAATTACTTTTAAAGATATGATTCTTTCTATCTTGTTGTTCATACATTTAACTTGATATAAGTGAATATGCATAGATGAATTAAAAATATTATAAAGTCTAAATTTGTAAAAGTAAAAAAACGATTTTTAGTTCATTTAATACTAGTTAAATTTGCTTTAAATTGGTTCTTATTTCATGATGATATCTCAATTCGTTCTTGAGATACAATATTTTAAATCGCAGTTTTATCACTTAACCCCAATAACTACAAGCAAAATTTAAAAAAATCGTATCACTAGGATTTATAAGATTGAAGAAAATATTTTTGGTAAGTAGATACTCTATTAAATTTGCTATAAAATGGTTTTTATATCATCTTGACATCTCAATTACTTTTAAAGATCTCGAATTTGATGTCTGTACACTAACTTGATATGAGTGATTATGCATAAATGAAATAAAATGTCCAATGTCAAATTTGTTAATTATTATAATTCTGGAAATAGATTATTTAGTAGTTTATGAAGTAAGTTTTGAGAAGCATCGTTAAATATCAACATCTAATTTTGTTTGCCCAGAAAGAGAGAAAGAAGCAGCATTTTTTTTGTTGATTACAAGGTAAAATAAAAATGATTACTATAATCGTGTAGCTATGTATTCATAGTGTCTTTGATGGTGGTTTTGTACTTAATCGATTTATTGCATTCGTAGCAGATAAATCAGTATATACTCTTTGTGCATGATCGGTATAATATGCCCTATAAACTTCCCTATGTAAATGCGATATAAATATGATGGATACGAATGCCGCCATGTATATCGATATGATATACATACGTTGCTTTGTGGCTATACATTTACAATTTATTGTCCGCGCATCACTTTTCCACTACGAGTATGGCCTTATCTGTTTTTGTTATTTAAGACTTTTGCTGCTGTTTCGTCCGCATACCCCTGTGAAGTTTTTCACTTCACTTGTGTCGTTTATTTTTGTAAGTAGATCCTCCATCAATAAGTTCCAAAATACTAGTTCTGACAGTAGCTTTGAAAGACCAATTGATTTTCTTCAGTCGTTTGAAAAGAGCGTTCCAACGTAGGTTAACAAAAACACTTGATATGAAGAAAAGTATTGCACATATTTGCAGTCTTTAATTTCCTGTACACCTTTAACCTTCTGTGAACTTTTAATTTGCTATAGAAAATCTTGTTTAGGATTTTTCCTGAAAGACAAAGGTCGTTGTTTTTGACATCATGTAACGCGCGATGCTAGAGTGATTCAATTTTATCATTTTCTATCCTGCATCTGGGATTTATTGGTGCTTAAATCGGCGTCACATTAATGATCGAGTCCCGATGGTGATACTATCATAGGCGATGACCTCAATAATAGAAAATTGATCGGAACCAACGGTTTTTTTGTTGTTAGGTGGGATGAATGAGTGAATGAGAAAGTCTAGAATGAAATCTCCACATACTTGGTTAATCCTTTCTACTCTCCAAGTTTCCATAAGAAGAGTCATAGCCGGGATATGGGAATTTTTTACAAAAGCACTACTACGATTCCAGTTTCACCAGAAAGCTCGTCATCTGCCGAGGTATCAAGCAAGAAGACATCTTCAAACCAGGATCAACTCAATAAAAATTCGGGGTTTTATCAATGTTGAAGATCACTACTATAGAGTACGACTCATTTCTTGCGAAATTATCACCCATACCATGTCTTCTCTGTATTACTGCAGAAAATGTGACGAATTCTGGAAAATCCCACAAGGTGATGCTGTTTTTCTTTATAAATAGATTACAACATCATCTGTACATGACAAAGACATTGTAGTATCTTTAACATCTAACATTTGCTATATCTGCTATCTGGCCGTCATTTGCTAAAAATTTTCCATGAACTAAACACTTCTGGCTATTAATGAATCAATTTTTATTAAATGATTCCTTAAAAAAGTGTAAAAATAAAATCTAAATGTTGTGATAACTTTCAACAAAATCTAAATTAAACATTCATAGAATGAGGAAATGAAACCGCCTTAAAATTCATTTAGTTCACGACGTTAAACCAAACAATAGGAAGACTTTATCTTTGCGCTATTGTAGTTACTCGAAAAGATAGGAAATTAAGTATTCGTGAGGACATTAACGAGATTGAAACGATCATTTATTAAACTTAAAAGGGCAAAGACGGCGACGTCAAGTTTCTGTTACTGAAACTATTAATCAAACGGAAAATGTAGAATCAAATTCGTACAAAGAAATCAATCGAAAATAAAAATAATTAAAATACTGAGAAAATAAGTAACTTAACTCAACACAATCATTCAAATGAATTCGAATTCCAAGGTTTAATTACGTGATTATACTTCAAGAATAATAACAGGCAAGGTTTTAATTACGGCGTTATTTGAAATTCTCCCGATAACATTCTATAGAAACGGAAAACCAAAGTGAATCACTGCCAAGAAAATTTTTTTTAAATTCTTCGTTTCTGCGGTTTTGTGTGTGAATGGAATATGAAGTGACTAAAATCATTTTATGAATCACAAAAATTAAAAATTTTAAATAATGAATGAAAATTTTATATTTGAACCTTTATTGACCTTCATAGTTATTAAAACCTTGTGAATTATTCCAGATGTAGGTCGATTCAAGAATGAGTCAGTGGATAAACTGTAAACGATGTAACGATGTCACCGGTTTTCGTTGCGATCTCTATAAGACTTCGTGGATTATTCAAAAAGGTCAAAGGTGTATTTAGAAGAGTTAAATACAGAATTTGACAAAGTAAATTTTAAAGGATTCGTTAAGAGAAGTTTAAATATTAAATAAATCTAAAATAAATTCAAGAAAATTTAAAATTGTTAAAAAGACGAATAAGTTTGTTAAATGTTATTAATGATTGGAATAACCTTTCAATGAAAACCTACATGTATTAATTAGTGCGTGGATAGTTCATTGATTTTGTGTTCAAAGTTTCCAAATAGAAAGGAAATTGGATGATTTAAATCGCCATAAATGGTTTCCAAATTCAATTGGAGTGTTATTCGCTTGAAATTACAAAATGTTGGATAAATCTGTGTTTTGGGGCCCAATTTCACAGTGAAAACAACACGAACACAGGGCCGGATTGAGCGTTGAATTTCTGTATTACCACTCTTCTACGGTGAATATGTGTGGAAGAGGGACTGTTTGGTCAGCGGCTTTATAAGCATACCTAAAACCCACGGTGCATGTGAAACAGTTCGACCGATGTGTCCGGTAACTCTAACCTTGACGAAGAGAGTCGATGACCGCACTTCAACCAACTCCACAAATACTACTCTTGCTGTCTTGTCTCTTTTATTGTTAATTGTAAATATTTTTCGTATTTGTTAATTAAAAACGAATTTTAAATTGGAATATCCCTTTAATATTAGTTATAACTCAGTTTGTACGACGTAAAATAGAGAACGCAAATATAAAATAAATTGCATAGGTCCTCTGTGGGTTACAATCCAACTGCAAAATGAAATCTGTCACTGAAAACCGCCTCAAACAATGCTTCTTCATCTCGGAACAATATCGGGTTATTTGCACCGAAAGTAAATAGAAAGAAAACTTTTCCAATATATGTCACAAAATTTTCACAGGATTTTTGATTTACATCTTTTTAAATTTATTTACATCGATCAATTTTTACCACTTCTATTTTTTGAACAATGATGAAACAATCAATAAAACATTATTTATTTTTTCTTATTTAGAGTATGACATCAAGACAAAATAAAGTTACAATAATATAGAATGATAGAGTTAACCAGGTTTGGCGTGGTAAATCAATACCAGGACGTTTTTGGGTAATACCAGTGATGGGCGCTGGGTAAATACCCGGCGGGTAGGTATTTCTAAAATGGGTATTTATCCGGGTATTTACCCCGACCCAGGGTAAATACCCAAACAGTGGGTATAAAAGTGATACCAGTAAAAATATATCGATTCCAATAAAAGCCCTCTGCGTCCATTGTTGGACATAGACCTTCCCTATTCTGTGGTTTGAATACAATTGTTGGTCATTCTTTTGACGTCTACTTCGTCTGTTCGCTCGCGGTCTTCACTCAAGCAACCATTTTGTCCACTGCTCATTCTTCATTCGCACGATATGGCCCGTCCAGTTCCACTTAAGCTTTGCCACAATGTTGACCACATCATTTACGCCAGTTCTTCTTCGTAGGTCTTCATTTCGTATGTAGTCCCTCAGAGTTAGACCCAGGATCGACCTCACCATCTATCTTTGCGCAACTTGGACCCTCCTGGCAGTGGTTACCATTAATGTTAAAGATTCGGAGCCTTATGTCATAACCGGAAAGACGCATTGATTGAAAGCCTTTCGTTTAGTTCGCTTGTTTGATTATCTCTCGATACACGAACCTCATAGCCAAGATTACATTGCTGTGAACCCTCTCAATCTCATTATCCCCAATGTTGATGTTCTTCTTGTTGATATTTAGCACGACTCTTGCACACACCTCCTTTAAGTCGTTCATCATTAGTTTAATCTCTCCAAGGCTATCCGATATAAGAACTATATCGTCCGCGTAGCGCAAATTATTTAAGCATTTGCAATCAATGTTTATGCCTTCTTGGGTCCAATCCAGTTGTTTAAATGCACTCTGAGGACTGTGATGAACAATTTGAGTTCCAACAGTGTCCCGCCTTGTTTTACTCACAATCAGTACTTTACTACTTTTACTCTCTTCAATACTTTCATGCAATTTTACCGTCATTGTAGCATTCTTGTAGATGTTATAAATAAGTTTGGTATGTCGATAAGCGACTCTGCATTCTTGAAGTGCTTGCAAATCTGCCATCAACTCAATTTAAATTAAATTTATAAATACCTCAAAATACCCATCTTGGGTAAATACCCCCGGGTATATATCCAGGATATTTACCCTTGAAAATAAATACCCGGGTATTTAACAACACTGGGTAATATATAGGATTTAACTTTCTGCTTTGCTATCCATTCTTGATGTCAAGTAGTCAGGTTGACTTCTTCATCTGCTGTTTTTTTGAGGTAGGTTTTGATTGCTAAAGATCTTGTACTCTTTCGTGAGGGTATTTATGCGACGCAGGTTTAGGGGTGATGTATGGCTCAGCATACAACCCAACCCAACCCAAACTTAACTCAACCTTTGCGGTCATTCTCATCGTGTCATTGAGTTGAGCATAGATTCTGTGGAAATGAGGACTGTTAAGACACACTATCAAGTGTGGCTTTCTGTCAACTTTGCTGGTGATTGCTTGAATGAGCCATTTCCGGAAATACCGTTCCAGATTCTCTAGGTTGGTTGACAGGATCTCCTCTTATTCTTCGAACGATATACATCTTATTGCAAGAGCTCAGTTATCGGCGTAGCTTTTTACATCTTGTTTGTAACGATCTTTGTAATAGGCCGTTCTTGACTTTTCTTGATAAGGATTTGCATGAAATAACGCGGAGGAACTTACAGATCCTCAACTTCTGTCCATATAGTGTCATAGGCTGCCGATAAAATGATACTGAGGTTATACATAATTTTTGGACTGCGATCCAGATTGAGGTTCGTGAACAAACTTCATAACAAAAATTATGCGAAGGACTATTGTGGATTTTTCGTGATTATAAAGATGACTGAGTATTATTTATAAATCTACGCATTAACTATACACATAAATTGTTTACTAATGGACGAAAACTTTCATTGTGAAATAAAATAGTCTTTAAAAGTAGTCTCAAAAGCATCAAAGTAGTCTTATGAAATATTCCATAGAAATGAATTCTTCCATTTTATGACAGCGTTTGGAGAAATTTTAAATTACTGCTCCATGAGTGATACCACATAATTAATTTGGGACTCAGGTAATGAATATGTTAAGCCACATATAGATTATAGTGAAGGAGTTATGCTTAAACAACAGCACCTTTGCATTTGCTAACAACTAACAACTATTCAGTACTTACAGTATTTACCTTTCAGTGAATACAAGAGGATCACCATCTCTTTTTGGGGTGGTATATCGCTGCTCCAACACATCTTATAATGACTATATGCAAGCGTGTCAGAACTGGATCTTTATACTACAACGTAAATCACTCAGGACGCTAGCGGGCTTGCTTATAGGCATGATATATTCGTTTTGTATATTGCAAAACCATAATTTGCTCTTATGTTCATCATATTTTACTTCACACAAGTGCAAGTGATGTCAAAAGGGCAAATGGTGTATAAATGAAACACATTTGATTAAAAGAAGTTCACGAATAAATGGCCAAAATAATTACTTAATATTTTATAAGGCATATACAAAATTGATGATAACAGACAGATAACGCAGGAAACTATTGTGGATGAACTAAAAGAAGTCACAGAATTTATATACACAAACATGACCAACTTGACGAAGATGTAGAAAGCTCAATAAATCACAAAAAGGACAAAAACGGTTATATTCGCAATCTTCCTATACTGTGTAGAATCCTGGACTATCAAAGAAGCCGATCAAAAAAGCATTGTGATGTGGTGTTGGACAGACGCACTAACATATCTATACTGAAAGAGCCCGAGATCTAATACAGATTGTCCACTATTTGCCGGCGACTAATTTTGTAATATTTCCGCATATATCCAGAAGAGATGAAAGCAACTTAGCCCAAGAAAAAGTAGATGCAAAAGACCGAGGGGAAGATCGCCAACTAGGTGCCTGAACCAATTAAAAGAAATAACAGACAGTTTCCATTAAGGCGCACTTCAAAATGCACAAGATTTATTCTACCAGTTTTGGAAAAATAAAGTAAAAAAATGCTCATAAACATGGAATCTCTACTTCACAGTTATCTATGGACTTATATATAGCATCTATGGATATATTTAATTAAAAAGCACCGTAAACTTGAAGATTTATAAATTTATGATTACCTGCATAAGCTTAATTATGCAAATTGATTGAAATTTAATACCGAATGCGTGAATATTAAAAAATTGTGGAGAGCGGTAAAGAAAACGCAGATGTTATTTATGTTGTGTAACATGAGCATATGCATGTTTTGAACGTCATTTTTATTTAGACTTACAACTCAATCATTAGGTGACAAATAATAATACCAAACAGCTAATGTCAGCTTCACATCAATTCTTTTTTGAAATCAAAGACATAAGGAATAATTTTAAACTGTTTTATTAAAAAACGGCGTTGGTGAAATAAAATCTGATTTTGGCAAACACATTACAACTGAACTCAGTATTCCATCCTCTTTAGATTTAATTCTTCAGATTATTATTGATAAAGTTTTGAAGTCCAATAAATTGATCTTAAAAAATCTAAAATGTTTTCAAGTCCAAATACCAATTGATGATCCAACATTGTCTAAAATAACTTATCTTACATAAAAAACGTTTTAACATCAAAAACAAGCTTTATTTTCGAATATAATGTAATCCCATCAATAGAAATCCCACACTTTTATTTCCAAACTTTTCTCCAAATCGAATTGTTTGATCGAATTGTCATCGAAACCTTCACAATTCATACAAATTCAATCGATCCCACGATGTCGCATCGAACGCCGCCCGAAAAGAGAACAATACCGGCAACTCCAAAAACGTCCTTCCTCCTCCACGTCCCGAAATGCAACAACCTCTCGTTGGCATTGTTTTCCGCCCACATCCTCTTTGAACAGCTCATACTGAAGCGTTTCTGCAACGTCGTCCTGTGTATAGAAACCGAGGTAATTCCAATGCAGGACGACATCGTAGCCATACAATTCCCTTTTCATACTGAGTCTAAAATCGTCATCGTCTCTTCACTCAAACCACATGGTACTTGTTATGTTTGCAGCTTGAATTGGTATTGTTTATGGGGAGTGAGATATTGTGCAATTCCTGATGGTTTATAAAGTTAGATGCGAAGTTGATTATAATACTGTATGTGTGTGTCCTAGTTTTACGTGCCGAATTCCTGCTGTAAACAAAAGTGTGTGACCGAGGTGCGGCCTACACGTGCATTCTCCTCCTGCGAAGGCCCCACTACCAGCCGATGAACCGTCGTTGTTGGTTCGCTCGTCGTCGTCGTTGTCGGTTTTAGTGTCTCGCCAGTTAGTAGTCGCTCCGGAAGGTGCTTCAAAAAATCCGGTTATTCTTCTTTTGCCACGACCAAAAAGAAATAATTCCGGCGCGAAAACCCTCTTCAACAATATCCATTCTGCTTAATAATATCTATTCACCTTCTAGTCTCCAATTTTTCTCGAAGTAATTCTTCTTCCAAAGAAGAAATCAAAGAACTCAACAAGTGGTTATTAGAAATTCTTTTTTGCGCGCCAACTTATTCGATCAACGCGAACCTATTGATTTTACCTTTCAGTTTGAAACTAGAACTCGACGTAGCTGTTCGATTTAATAAAAGGAGAATATAAAATAAGTACCGCGACGCGGATCGATTCCATACCTTTCCGGAGTTTGTATCCAAACAAATTTTAGGTGTTGATTCGGAAAACTTTTGTTTTGGTGTTTCTAATTTTTTATTGTTAAGTTGGATGATAATGTGAGTTCACGCGTGTTAAAAAAAGGGGGGCCTGTGAAGGTGCATGATGGTGTACGAGGAGTGACGAAACGTCACTGTGCTAGTGTGCTATGGCTGATAGTAAGTTCCTTTATTCGACATGCGTTGCCATCCTCGGATTTGTGTGCTTCGTGGTTGGTGCGACTGCTGTCGGTTTACCCGGATGGGCATACTTCGATAGCGTAGCAGGTAAGATAATAATTCAAAAACATTTATGAAAAATTATTGAAAAAATAAATAGTGTTTTAAATTATGTAAAAAAAATTGTTTGGTTTCCTCATGACCTTGATTCTGCATTCATCATGGGATTTTAGTACTAAAAATAGAATTGCATAGAACTTTCGAAATTACAACTTAAATGATTGCATTACAAATTAACAAATTACTTCAAAACAAAATTAAACTCAATTTTCAACGATTTTGCTAATTTAGTTTAAAAGTGGGTAATTTTATGGTTTTGGTACGCATTGTGGTGTTCCATGAATCTATTAAATCACACTTATTCTGAATTATCCTTAATATGATGTATTAATTAATAAAGTATTTTATTAGTAATTTAAAATTAACATTTTATTGTGAAAAGGTAGATAGACACATTAATTTTCTACGGAGTTTTTGATTTAATGACAAAATCTAGAAATTAAAAAAACTATATCTCAAGAACGAATTGAGATATAATGATGAAATAACATTCATTTTGAAGCATATTTAACGAAGTTTAAATGTACCATTACTGCGAGCCTAAGGATCTATTGTACCCCGATGGACAACATTATCAAATTTAACCGTGCAGTCCAATGCTCTTAACGAACCTTAATATCTTGCTCTTCAGCCCACAGTTCAATCCTATGTTTGGCCATCGCAAATGATATATTTCGTTTTCGATCCAGGCAGTACAATCTGGTATCGAGCATTAACCACTAGTAGTGAATCCGTCAAATCTGACTGCATATCAGTGTTTATACTGTCTTCTGCAGCCCATTGGTAGGACATGTGAGAGCAGTTTTGAGCATATTGCTTAAACCTGTAAATAGTAGTTCTAGCCACTTCCTCTATATGCAAATGCAAAGAAGATAGGGCAAGCAGAACATCCATTGCTAAAGTTGGCGTTGTGCTTATCGCACCAGAGATTGCCAATCCAGCTACTCATTGAATTCGTGAAAATTTACTGATAACTGAAGTCTGTCGGGCTTTCTTACACCAGGTGCCCCTCTGTATGTGATCATAGGTCTAAACACAGTCAGATCCAGCAGGATGTCAGCAGGAAGGAGACCCCAATTTTTTCCATAAAGACTATTACAAGTCCACAAGGATAATCTAGCTTTGTGTAAAACTCCCTGCAAATGTTCATTCCATTGTCTTGAATTACTTCTAGATATTTAGCTTCCTCTAAGAAAGGAGTTTCTTCACCTTGCATAGTTGGGCGGATTAGTCCATTCAATTTTCGTCAACGATTGTCAAATGTAAATGTGCCATACACAATATCTTATTTTCCATTAATATCGTTGTTATGATTTTTTAAAGTCAATTCTGCAGGTCAGATTGCTACAACTTTTAATACACAATTTAAAAAAAATCATATCTTGAGAACGATATGATTTATGACATACATTTTGAAGCAAATTTAATGAAGTTGAAATGTACCATAAATGATATATTATTCTCCATTAATACCGCTGTTATAGTACTTTAAACTCAATTCTGCATGTTAGGTTGTTATAAATTTTAAACATACAATTTCAAAAAATCGTATCTTAAGAACGAATTGAGATATGGTGATGACATAACATGCATTTTGAAGCAAATTTAATGAAGTTGAAATGTACCATAAATGATATCTTATTTTCTATTAACATCGTTGTTATGATTTTTTAAACATAATTATAGCTACATGTTAAATTGTAATACATTTTAAATACAGCAATTACAAATATCGTATCTTAAGAACGAATTGAGTTTGACATTTTGAAGTAAATTTATGTTTATAGATCAAATGTGAAAATAGTATGAATTACAAGTGAAGTTCGATCGGTATGAATAATATATTCGTCGCAGTAGCGTTCGAGTTTTTAAAGTGAGCCATATCATGAGAATACCGAACTAGTCATCATGAATGTTATCAATGAAAAAATGAAACTTTTCTACCACCTAAATGAATACATCGAAGTTACAGAGGTGATTCAAAACGGAAACGCAACAAGCCACCTGTTATCACAATTAGGTCATGCATGAACTGGAATGCAGATGATAATAATATTTATCAGAGGAAACTATTAAGAAAGACAGGAATTTGTAAATTGTTCTACCACTTCGAAAAAGGATTTTTTTTCAAAAACAATCAGTTAAGTTTAAAACTAATTTGAGAAATTCAAATCATTAAGTGTCAAGATGTCGGTCTAAGTCATCATCGTCTTAAATTGTTCTAAAAAGTATAGAAATTAGTTAGATGGTCATCAGTCGCGAAATCCGGACAAAAAGGATATAGCGGCAATTAAATCCGACTATCTAGCTCAACTTGACCGCATTCACGCTGCAATCGAGACGAAAAGACCGCGCAAAAAGAACGATATCTCTTCTTACCACATCATGTCAATCAAACGATAGTCACATTTATGATTACATATACATTTTTATTGTAGTAGTGGTGAATTTTCTAATTTTAGAAATTTAATATGTAGGTTGTTAAAGTTAATAGTATAATCATCTTCAAAACGATTACGATGTTATATTTATATCAGAAACAACAATGTAGTAAAAGATTTCTTAGATTTAAACATACCACTCTTTTTATTACCTCTATGGTTTCGAAAATCTATTTTTTTCCAACAAAAACTAATACTTTTAACAATACTATCTATTTTAGTACGCAATTGACACTTTAGTGATGACCTATAAAATTTGACACTTTTATGATAACCTACAAAAAATGTAATTTGCGCGAGAAAACAGATAACATTGTTCAAAGTATTGGATTTTATTGCAAAAGGAAATAGATTTTCAAGCCATAAAAATTACTTGTTGAAGTACATCGTGAATCCTAGTCCAATATCATTTTATTTTCATGTACAGTTTGTGTTCAGAACAATTTAAATGCACCTTGATTAATTTTGATAGTCATTATTTGAAGTTCTCGATATCACAAAAATAAATGGTAAAGTTTTATCAAATTCAGTATTAGATATCGCTAAAGTTATCGTGCAAAGTCTGGCTAAAACACAATATTGTTTTTTGCTTGATGTTCATTATTGAATTGAAGTAATTTGGTACTATTACTAACATAAAAGGAGGTAGGTATATGAAGGACACCGTACTCCAGTGCATTTCAACACTGTCATAATTGTAGCAATATCAGAGAATATCCAAATATTGTGAATGACAAAGAGTGTTTTCAGTGGGTGGGCAAATGTGATACCTTAAATATCTTAAGAACTGCAAGCCCAAATCTTAAAGTCTTTGGACACGAATAACTGTTGGTTGTGCAACATGTTTAAGGGACACATGGTGGTGCTATAGAAATCAATCAGTCTAGCGACATATAATAATAAATAATTAAGTCACCTGCTTTTCAAATTTTATGATAATTGCTTCATCTTAATCGCATACAACTGGCGTTTATTTTGTTTAGAAAGCTGTGTAATGTGCTATAAATTGTCAGTAAAGGTTGGATTGGGTTGGATTGGGTTGGATTTGGTTTAGGTTTGGGGTTTGGTTGGGTTGGGTTTGAGATTGAGTTAGGTTGGAGCTTGAGTGGGATTGGGTTGGGTTAGGTTGATCAACTGAAGTAAATTCTAAAATGTTGGCCCAATGGCCCAATGGTTCATTGCCCGGAAACGAAATTGCAACAACTTTGTTTGTTTACAACTTTAGACGATATAGATAGAGCTTCAGCTACAATGACAGGAGAATTGGGTAATAATTATCCTCCGCAACAAGATGATTCTATACTATATGTTTATATGAGGCGGTGTCCGAGGACATCAAGGTCTCATCAAGCATGTCATTACAGACACGGTTTCATTTAAACAAGATTATTGAATTTAAAGAATGAAGTATTGGTAAAATTGTGTCGGTCTTTGTCAATTATCAGACATGGAATGTAAAAATCCTCAAAACTAATGCTCTTGATATACAGATCAAGAATTGATTCGAAGTATGCAGACAGATTCAACAAGCAATTATCTACACCACTATTGAAGACGCTAGCAGCTCAATGTCTATTACAGTAGTTACAATATCCAACGCCCAGCAAAACAAGTTTCATTCTAACACTATATCATAATTAGCGTCTCTTCAGTTTCTACGCTAACAATGACATGTAGGAATTCATAGTGATATCTCCATAAAGGCAAACAATGACTCCTCAGTTATTACTCCTCCGTATTATGTATATAAATATCAACTTATATTTCAGCAAGTTGTTTACCAAGCTAACACAGCTAAAGAAGTTGTCTGAAGAATTAACACTACATCTAGAACTAAAAATTAATAATAATAAATACCCTTATTAGAAAATAAGCTTAATTGTACAAAAAAAAAACATACAAAAGAAAATAAGCGAGTTCCAACTTGTACTAGTTAGTACAGCTGCTCTAACTAACCTAAGAAACAAAAAAAGAAAAACATGACTCGGCCAAAAATTACAAAGCAACAGCTAGATACAACAACAAGATTGCAAAACATGTCAGATCAGCGTTTGCCCCCATGTAGACATTGTTCAAGAAAACAAGAATATTTCTGTGTAAATTTAAACCTTCGTAGTGAGAACCCCTTGCAATTATCGTCCACCTCATTATATTTCGAAATTATTTGAAATATGTATGATGTCTGAAACAAAGACAAACGATAGAAGGGTGGCGACAGTCTTCCGCGAAATCGCGTATTTATTCGGTGGACATCATTTCGGAAAGTTATCAGTTGGTAGAGATACTGTGGTTCCTTGCAGTTTATAATTTTATGGTATAGGCACAAACACTGCACTTTCCTACGATGATACATATTTAGCCATCCCGCATCCTTCAGTTTATAAGATATTCTGTTATATTTTCTAATTCCATATATATACCGAAGACACGAATTTTGCACTCGTTGAATACGTGTTACATCGCTAACGTCAATGCGCGGATGGTAGACCTCAGCACAATAAGTGAATTGAGCCAAAACAGAGGCTTCGCACAACACCTTTTTCAGAT